AACTGTAAAAACAAACAACAGAGAGACGGTTCTACTTTAGCCACCGTAATTTGGGGGGTCCCACCATGATTGTCTTCCACGCGAAGTTTCGATCGTTATAAACTTTACCCCAGCCCCCACAATCTCCTTTTTTAACGTGCCCTGAGCTGAGAGCCAGGTGGACCAGCTCTGTTTTTTCCCCTACACGTGTTAGTTATCTTTAGGTTACTACCGATTTAAGTCAAAGATATAGTTTTCTCTCTGAGTGAAGCAAGAAAACCTTACAGTGTGATTGACCCTGGAGAAATTCAGTCGGTGGCCGTTTGATTGAAAAACTTGTAGTTTTCCTCTTCTGGGAAACTCCAATCCGTTTGATTGCCGGAGTTTAGAGGCCCTAGGCGCTAGGTGTTGTATGTAATACTTTCAAGAAAAACAGAGATTTTCAGGATCAGATATGTTGTTGCTCGCCTTTATTCAGATTTTGATCAGAACTTAGATTTATGTAATTGCATTCAAGAATCAATATACAGTACTATATAAGGAATACACTATACAGAGCTAGCTTAAAATAATACATAGAATTGACTTTGATCCATGTGGGTAGCATAATTTTCCCCTTATAATAGAAAAACATATATTACAAGTATCCATAGTGGGTGGAAGGGATCCCAAACTCGCAAAAAAGGAATGCCCCACAAAGCTCATGGCAACATATGCAAAGCAGCTGGTAGTGCTAAAAAAATTATTATACTTCTTGACACAACCGACTAAAAACAAAAGAGCCAAAATTTTCAAAGGCCTGTATTGTATTTCAAGATCCTTTAGTTGGGTTATAAAAGGAGTCCCAACTTTAGGACACCATGCTTTGCCTTCAAAATATGTTGCACCCTCAACAAAACATCTCCATTGTCTTTGTCCATCTCTTTCTTACCTTTCTTTTTCCTTGTGGAAACGTGCCGCCTCTGCACCATTAAAGAGAAACGTGCATGCGCGCGCGGGAATATAAGATTAGCGTCTCCACACACACTATGCTGCGTACTGTGCATTACCACAATTTTACACCTATCCCTTCCCAGAATTAAAGCTCATTTTCCTATTTCTTTCTACTGCTACACGTATCTCTTCATTTCCTCAATATATATGAGGGAAGGCGTGTCCGCTGTCTGTCTATTAAGTTTCATTCCCATACCCTTACTCGTTAATTTAAGTCACTTTCTTCCTCTTCTCAACACCATGGTTGCGACGCTCAACTTTATGGCAACAGGTGTGTTTATTTTGAGTACTCCAAAGAGGCCGTTTAGGCTGCTCTTTCATTTTCATGAAGCGGGTGGCCATCGTAGCAGCCACTTGAAGAAAGCTAGCTAGCTAGAGATCTTATCAAGACAGACTTATATAAGCATGAAAGGATAATATATCATGCATCCGTGCAAGGGGAATCAAGCCTTCTGGTCCGATTACTGTATTTCTTGAGATTTGTTTTAATTCTGAAGTTTTAACATATAGCCATATCTGTTTTGTTAATTATGTTTTCTAAGATTTAGAGTTGTGTGTCTTTATTCGTTTGTATGAGTGTTGGTGTAGTTTGTCAGATCTCAGAGGAAGCTAGTGTTGATGAATGAGTCAGATAACAGAATGTAAGTAGAGCCTGCAATTGCTGCTTGATGTAATAAAAAGTTTTATGTTATTATAACTTATAGGCACTCCATCTAGTTTATTGTACGATTTTTTTTATTTTCTCTCTTCTTTTGACTTTCATCTTTTCTTCTTATTAGAAAACATGAACAATTAGAAATCGTCCAGTCACCTTGTATTGTATGCACACTGTTTGGAAATAATAAAGCATCTGGGTTATTGGTTATAACTAGAGAAATAAATACATATAGGAATATGGGAATGCATTAAGATACTTCAATCTCACTTCTCATATGTAATAAAGCATCTGGTTGATGATTAGTTCCAAGTTGAGAACATATATCAAACCTAAATTTTCATAGAAAATCCACGTGCATCTTCAATAAAAGCAGATAATCTAAACATGAATGGGCAACTGGAAATCAATATATATCTATCAACAAACCAAGTCTAAAGTAGGAATGATACTTGGATCAGAACATGTATGCATGTCAAGAGAAATAAATCAAGGGCATGACCATTTGTTTGTTTGCTTCATTTTTACTCCCTGGCGATGAGAGAAAATAACCTCCTCTTTAAACATACTCTTATTATGGAGTGTATATATATATAAACCCTACTGTATTCTTAAGAGATATCGTATTTACTTGGCTCGATCTCTTGATGCTATAATTAAAGATATTTCTTTAGCTTCATAACTACCAACTCGAATTCAACATAAAACCTAAAGATTGTTGCTGACATTTGACATATATAATTATGATGAGTAGTATATAATAACATTATATTCTTTTTGCTATCTTTAATCATGAAGAAAAGTTAAAGATTGACAAAAAGTTTGCATTGTGCCTACAGATTGTTGGGCAGGTTAAAGCAGTGAGATCCAGTATGATATAAACATAATAAAAAGCTTCGTTGATGGTAATCATCACTTTCTTCATTCCTTTTAATAACTTAATCATAAACTATCCATATTATAACTTAAAAAAAAAGTTGCTGTTTGGGCACAACTGTCATCGAAATACTCGTGGCAGTGAGGTCTTATTGTTTCCTTCTTCATTTCGATCCCTCTGTAATGGACCCAAGATGTCACATTTTCTTTTTCAGAAATATAAAGCTTTGTCTTCAATCTTTAACATGGTTCATACCCATAAAAGCTCAGTATTTAAATGGATATATGAATTATAGCGCTCTGCCTCTGCCTCTGCCAGAGCGATCTTGATGAGATCAACTGTGTGAGGACCATGCAAAAGCATGCTCCTTGTTTCTTCAAACTATGTTTTAAGGGGTGATAGTAGACAGACAGCCAATAGAGGCACTAATTTATGCTTTTTTGAATTGGGCCTCGATTATCTAACAAATAAATGGATGTAGAGCCCAAAGGCTGTAAAGCTTAAGCGCCCATGATCCATAAAGAAATGGCACATTCTTTTTGCATTAGTGATTCATGTTTATGATAAGTCTAGTCAGGAGGGTAAAGTGTTTCAGTGGTTTCTGATAATGTTTTAAGTTATTTGTCGGTGTAATACGTAGTTGATATTCCATTGTTGAGATTAAAGCAACTTTTTGTCTATGGTGTTGCCTTTGCCTTATTCATGCTTATTGTGTATTTTTAATGTTAATTAGGTTGTCCTTGTCTGTCTCTATTTGCTCCTTTTCTATTGTTCAATGTTTCATTTTACCATCTTTATCTATGTGTAACTGATAGCTCATCAGATTTGACACCAAATTCCCCCTTTTCAACTCACAATCACTCCATTCTTACTCACCATGCAACACCTTTTTACACAAATCATACTCAAAATTCACATAAAAACAAAACAAAATACATATAATATATATATTTTTTTAGGTAATTGGGGTATCTAGAACCACATTAGAGCTTGCCTAATCCTCAAGCCATGGAACACCCTACAAACCCAATAGACTAATGTAATTGTACAAATTATGTGATAGGTACATTTCTTGCAACTCAAATACAAAGATCTCCTAAGTATAGTTAACCTTAGTGGCTAAAAGATTTGTTATCCGACCACAATAAAAGTGGTAAAATATAAATAAATTGATAAATAAGCTAAAAGAAATTTACAATTAAATATCAATAAAATTTTAAATTAAACAAAAAATAGAATGAAATTTTTTATACAAAAGAAATTAAAAAGGTGTTTTATTTTTACATAATTTTATGATATTTATACTTCAAATATATATTTTATCAAATGCATATCACGTCATTTATATCATTTCAATCAATACATATTCCCCCCCCCCCCCCCCCCCCGTTTGGTATGATTTTAAAACAATTTCTACTATCCTATTTAATGTAAACAGTAAAAATTTGTTTGTTTAATATTCACATCCTCCAATTCAAAATCCAATCTCATTCTATTTAATCAAAACATACAATTACCTTGTACATAGAAGTTTATAAAGAACAAAAACACCCTCACACACCCAAGCCACTATCGGCCGCTAGCAACCACTGTTGGCTACTGGATTCGAAACAACTCACCATCGGTCGGATCTAGTTGATCGTGCGCCAGTTTGGCCGTTTTCGGCCAAATACACAGTGCATCTGGTCGAAAAAGGCTAGATCGACGCACGACCGGCAAGATCTAAGCGGTTGTGCACCATTCCGGTGATTGCCAGCCATTGTCCGGCAATGGTGGCCGGCTGCAAGCAGTCGGTTAGGTAGATGTGAATGTTTTTGTTAATTTATAACTTTTTATTGAGAAAGGGGGGGTGTTTAGCTAAATTAACAAATATAGGGTGTTAAAAAATAATTTAAATATTTTTAGAAAATATTTTCTAAAAATACATTAAACACATTCTCATAATCTTATTATATTTGATTTAATACTATCATATCCTATTCAGAATAGTTTTTCAAAATATCATATTTTAAATAATGTATCAAACATGCATATTATTTTTTCTTTAAGTTTGTAGAGTGTTCAATAAATTTCAAGTATAAATTGAGGTACACAGAAGTTGACTCAGTCAACCCAGTTACCAAAATCAATACATTATTGTCACAATTTTTTTAAATTAATGATTACTAATCATGTTCAAATGATATTAAAATGGTTATAAGTGGTGTAATGTATTGGTTAGTTGTAGTAACGAAGTATTTAAACGACATTCTAAACGTTTTTCCAAGAGTGAGAGTGGTCAATTATATTGCTTAAAATTATGATTAAATTAAGGCAATGAGCCACGTAAACCCAAGCTAACTTTCCAATTTCATAACCCAAAATAGAAATACAAAATTAAACATTAATAAAATAATATAAATAAAAAAAGGAGTGAAAAGAAGAAGCCACGTGTCATCCATCTACAAAGTAGCTTTTGTGTGTCAGGAAAGCTTTTGACGACATCAGATGGATATAATCGTATAATAAGACTTACAAGCAGCACCATTTTAACACCTTCACTTCCTCTTCCTCATTCTTCTGTCACCGGAATCTCACGCTCTACCGCCGTTTCAACCTGACTTAATCATCTGGAAGCTGATATCATCATGGACATTGACTCTTGGGCCTCTAGAGTCCACTCTGCTAAGCACTTCTCTGCTGTCCAAGCTTCTCGCCTCAACTCTGGTACTTTGTGTTTTTTGGATACTGTTTTTACACTTTTTCTTTTTCCTGCAACTTGGAAGTAGTATCTAGTGTTTGTAAGAGAATTGGTTCCGAAGAGTTTTAAGTTTGATTTTGTTTAAGCTTTCGAAACAAGAGTTTGTACTAGGTTGTAGCTTGAGTTTCGGATGCTTTAGTCGCTTGAACTCTTGGCACGGATTTTGGAAAAAAAAGTTTTTTTTTTTCTCATTTTATTTTACTTATGTACTTTGTGCTTTGATCGTTTTATGGAAGCGAGATGCAACTCTATGCTTAGGTTAGTTAATATTAGAGAATCTTATAGTCAATTCTACAGAATCATAGAAGAATTTCATTTATTATATGCGTTTTAACTCTTGGAAAATAGGGTTGTCGAGAGGCTTTGTAAAAACTTGATAAGACCCTTCAATTAGCTGGGAAGATTTTAGAAGTTTTACTTCTTGGAGGTTAATTATTCAGTAATATTGATAAACTAAGCCAGTCAATATGTCAAATGACATCAATGATTAGGGGAAATGATATGACAGATTGTTGGGTGTGATTGATAAATCTTTAGATAAACTAAGGGCGCTTAAGTTGCGGTTTTTGGAGGAAATATGATCCAAATCAATGGCTCCATCTAAGGTAAATGAAGGTGAAGATGATGAACTGAATTTTAAAGGTGATGGTGAAATGTTTTGATTAAAGCATGTTTTTAAAAGTGCCAAAAAGTCTGTTTTAGAATATTATAGATATCTATTGCTATTGGAGATTTCCTGGATAAGGTGATAAATGTATAGAAATTTTAGAATAACAATGGATATACTCGTGTTGCTCATAGGTACTAAAATTTTAATTTCCATAAGTTGTGTTGTGGACCTTGTGGTTGCCTACCAACTTTTCTTCAGCTTTCCGTTGTTGCAATTAAAGATTTTACATTTTAAATCATCAAATATTGCTTTTCTTAAGTGATTTCACAACATGATCACAAGGCATTATACTGAAGAGTCCTAATTTTTAATGTATAGCCTAGCATTGGATCTGCTGTTTAGGGATGCTGCAGGATCTAGAGGACTGGTCAATGCCTGTCCAAAAATTTATCTAGGTCACTCTGTATTGAAATCCCTTGATTTGTAAGGTGTTTTTACCTTCAATCAGAGCTAAACAATATATTAACTGTATATCGTTGACTTCTTCCACTCGAAATAAATTTTTTGCCAACAATCTATAAAACCCTTAAGAGGTTTAAGCCTTAAAGGAGACTCATTCTCCCAAAATGATTGATCCTTCGCTATTTTCTATATTCTCTATATATGTCATATCATTATTAGTCTCTCTTTTCTTTTTCCTTCATTTTCATCGCTGGGATGATGGCTTTTTGAAATATGGATTGAGATGTTTACATTGTTCAAACCATGTTGCAAAGTTTGGGTGTATAGCTTGTTGGTGCTAAGTTTTTGAATATATTATAAATAAAAAGTTTATTTCTTATTGTTTTATATGTTGAACAGATAATCACTCACTAGTGGATGATTCAGAAGGTGACGATGATGCAAAAGCTTGCTTCCCATGTCCCTTCTGTTATGTTGATATTGAAGTACATTTGGTCTGTAGCCATCTGCAGGAAGAACATTGCTTTGACTTGAAAAATGCAGTATGTGATTATCTTTATCTGATGCTTTATCACGTGTATGAAGATTTGTAAACATATATACATTTCCTTCTTAATTGGTGATCACTTATTAAGATTTGACTTCTTGACTGTCATAAATAGTTTATTGGTGTAAGTCCAAATATCTCCTTTGGATTCCATGAAGCCGCTCCTGGGAAATGTGAAATATTCATACTGATGTCATCATAATTGGATGTCCTGCAATACTTCATGTGATTTGTTTGGTCTAATTATTGAAACTGAATTGAATTTGGTGGCTGCTTGTTTTGGATGTTTAGGTCTGTCCTCTGTGTGCAGCAAATCTTGGAAAAGATGCCACTGAACATTTCATTGTGCAGCATGCTAGTTTGTTAAAGGTATTTTTTCTTTGTTTTTGATCTTGTTATGGAATTTGATGCATCCTTATGACTTCTTTGAGCATATTTAGGTGCTTTGAATTTGAAGGACAACAATGCCTTTATGTTTTGCAGCGCAGGAAAAGATTTCAAAAATCTGGTTTGTGGAATGGTGGTTCAGCAATGCTTGGCAAGGAATTAAGCTCATTTCTTGGATATTCGGTAACTGGTAGAGGAAATGCTCATGAATCTGTATCAGATCCACTGCTATCAAAATTTCTTTGCAATGCACCCCTTTCTGACAATAAAATTACACAGCAAGATGATTCTTCTGACGAGGTCTCAGTAGCTTCTGATTTGAAAAGGTATCCTTCTTCCTTGTTAGTTTATTTTCTGGTCACATCTTTTACCTTTTAGTTGCTAACTGAAATGCAACCATTAATTTATAGATATTAATGAACTTAAATAAATATAAACCAGATATTTATATTGCTATTATGTTTTATATTTGAATTTCAGACGTGGTAATTTTATTATAAAATATGTATTTCCATTCAATCTACTTGCAGGGAACCAACATTTCCAGATGAAGTTCATGAAGAGGAGATTGAAGAGAGAAGGCAGAGAGCAACATTCATTCAACAGTTGATCCTGTCAACCGTGTTCTGAGTTAGTGTATTCTCAAGGTTTTCCAGATGATACATAGTAGACCGGTCTTCGGTTACCCATTACCAATGGCACCGTATCAATGAGCGCTAAGTTTTTAGGAAGTGAAGCAGTTTCTATATGAGGTGTTCCCGGGGTGTATTTCTGGGAATGATGGCCTATGAATGTATTAAGTCTTATGTATTTGTAGCTTGTTGGCTAAATTATATCCGGTTAAGAAAATAAAGTCTTATGATCTTAAAGCTAGTTAAATCTCCTAGTTATTTACCGTTCACAAATTTCATCAATCGGGAATATTTTGGAATTAAGATACAGAGGTAGCCAGGAGCTTACCCCTTCTTTTCCTGGTTGATGCTGAGGAATGATGATCAGATAAAATATGTTTATTAAATTAATCGCTATGAAAATGACAAACTCAGTTGTATCTCAGGTAATATTTTCACTGCTTGGCGTGGTTGAGAAGAGTGAAGATAATTACTTGGATCCAGTGGCAAAGAAGGCTTTTGTCACAGTGACCAAAAAAGAGATCCTTATTAAGGTTCAATCAATAGATTAATTGAAAAAAAGCAAATAAATATGAACCAAGGGTATGGATGATTGTAGAGACACGAGCCAAGAGTCCAGAGTGCGAAGCTTTCTTGGTACAAAGGCAAATTTGCAGACTGAGTATGTCGGTGGAGATAAGAACACCCATATTACAAATATAATGATATCCAAAACTTTATATAGTTCCTAATAAACTCAAACCTTATGCAATTCCCACATCCCACAAATCTATGGTAAACCTAACTAAACAAGGTTAGATATAGTGATAACTAAAGTAGTCATCTCTCTTGCATTTTCATTTCTCTGATCTTTACTTTAGTGGAGAGCATACTCAATGTGGTCCTGTCCGAAGGAAGATTACTATGATGAAAGCAAGTATGATTAATATGATAAGTTTAAATCACCAAGATGATATAAAATTGCATTCACAAGAAAGTGAAACAAAGAATTAAGATGCCCACAACAACACAAACATTAAATCTGTGACTCACAACATACTGACAATTGCAAGTTGCTAGAGAGGATATACAAATCAACCAATCTCAAAACCCTAATTTTTTCATTTTTAAACAGTTTTATCTAGAAATTTTGGTCACAAGTAACTCGACAATAGCTAAAGCAATTGAGGGAGAAAAAAACAAAACAGCGAAGTGAATTATCACATGAACATTATCTAACTAGACTAAACATGAGTTCAGTGCGAAATAAGAACAAAACTGCAAATAATATGACATTCGATTCGAGAAGTTCCTACAATGGTGAAACTAATTGCATAAACTTGAGAATATAAAGTTCAACACCACTCATAAGCGTAGATCATTCCACCCACTACAAAGCTTCTAAGTATCACTCAATTATAGACTGAATTACACCTGCTCCGACAGTCTTGCCTCCTTCTCTGATAGCAAATCTCATTCCTTGCTCACAAGCCACAGGCACAATGAGCTCCACAACCATCTTGACACGGTCACCGGGCATAACCATCTTAGACTCCTCGTCCTTATCGTTCATAATAGAAGTGACTTTCCCAGTCACATCAGTAGTCCTCATGTAAAATTGAGGTCTATAACCTGCGAAGAATGGTGAGTGCCTACCACCCTCTTCCTTCTTCAACACATAGACAATGGCAGAAAACTTAGTATGTGGGGTAATTGTTCCTGGCTTAGCCAGCACCATTCCTCTCTGAATATCAGCCTTCTGAACACCCCTAAGCAACAAACCTACATTGTCCCCGGCCATTGCCTCATCAAGAATCTTCTGAAACATTTCAACCCCAGTTACAGTAGTGTTTCTAGTTTCTTTCAACCCAACAATTTCAAATGTTTCTCCCACCTTAACTTTACCCCTCTCAACACGGCCAGTGGCCACAGTACCGCGACCAGTGATAGAAAACACATCTTCAATGGCTAACAAAAAGGGTAAATCAGTTTGTCTTTGCGGGATAGGAATATAGCTATCTACAGAATCCATAAGTTCATAAATCTTATCAACCCATTGATTCTCTCCTCTCTTAATAGCAGGATTAGCCATCAAAGCCTCTAAGGCTAAAAGCGCAGAACCAGAAATAATAGGTACATCATCACCAGGAAATTCATAAGAAGAAAGCAACTCACGAACCTCCAAATCCACAAGCTGCAAGAGCTCTTCATCATCAACTTGGTCCTGCTTGTTCAAAAACACAACCATATTAGGCACACCCACTTGCTTCGCCAACAAAATATGTTCTTTGGTCTGAGGCATGGGACCATCAGCACCAGACACCACCAAAATCGCACCGTCCATCTGGGCGGCACCCGTAATCATGTTCTTCACGTAATCAGCGTGTCCGGGGCAGTCCACGTGGGCATAATGGCGGTTCTCCGTCTCGTACTCCACCGTTGCGGTATTGATGGTGATACCACGCGCACGTTCCTCGGGGGCAGCATCGATTTCATCGTATTTTTTGGGGGCACTGTTACCCAAAGCGGCTAAGGCCATGGTTAAAGCGGCGGTGAGAGTGGTCTTGCCATGGTCGACATGGCCGATAGTACCAATGTTGACATGGGGTTTCTTCCGCTCGAATTTACCACGAGCAGCACGGACGACGAAGGAACGGTGGCGTGTGGTGGTGGTTGTAGAAGAGGAGGTGGTAGTGGGGAAAGGGGGAAGGAAGGAAGAGGAGAGGGGGGTTGGGATTAGTTTTGTACGGAAAGGGGCGGTGGTGGGTAGAGAGTTAGAAGGAGAGGCGTAAGGGTAAGAGGGTTTTGGAGCAGTGGAGGATACAGTGGTTGCTGCTGAGGCAGAGATTGCCATTGAAGTGTTAGAGAAACAGAGTTGAAAAAGAAGAAGAAAATGAGGGTTTGAGAAAGGGGATGAAAATGGAAGGGCAAAGAAGATTTGGAGTGTTATCTATTGGTCTGCCAAGACAAAAGAGGGCCTCATATGAGTTCTATCCACTCCTGCCCCAGTGTTTTGAGGGATGGATGGGATATACCAATTCACAAGCTCTTACTTTGGGTCTCATGAGTAGTCTATGCAACTCTACTCATACGTTGACACGTGTTCACCAATCCATTGGCCAAAATTCCATCTTTTTCAATATACTCTACTGAATTGAGAGAGGTGGTCTTCTGTCTCTAATACATGAGGCTCCTATTAAATGGGATTGGGGTTGAGGCTTATTGGAAAGTTACTTATGCATGGTTTAATGGGGGAGTGAAGTGAGATGGGTACCATTTGTATTAGTGATCCACCACCAACCCAACCTCTCCTTGTGCCGCGTAGTTCATTTAAGTTCTCTAATTTCAGCCAAACTTGGTCTTCAATTCCACCATAAGTTTTCTTATGATTTTAATTCAATCCACTTGAAATTATTACCTCGTTTCAATCTCTCAACTCGCAGTTTTATATATTACATCGACAAAGCGAAAAGAAGTCTGTCTTCCAGCAAATCCAACCCAACAACTGCATTACAGAGCCTTTTTTCACTATCTATTTCAAATCAATTTTATTTGGTAAAACATTCTATGGTAAGCAAGCTTTTAGGCATATGAAACAACCGAAAAACGTTTAGATACCCTAAATCAAACCTAAGAGCCAACAACTTGGCTAAAAATAAATAACAAACAAGTTATGGATTGTGGTACCCTTCAAATTCCAACCTCCATACTTACTCTGAACCAATTATTCCATTTTATTATGAACAACATAACTGCCAAACAGACATTCGGCAAGCATGCAACAAAAACAATTTAACTTTCAGTGAATCTTCATCCTTATCACAACACAAACGAGTCACCCAAAAATTGAAACACGTTTGCATTTCAACTGACAGTAATCTGAAACGGCTAGACTTGCGTATAAACTATATGTACAAGTGTACAATAATTCTTAACTCACCTTACTACACAAAAGTCCAGAGCAATCTCACCCCCCAGCAGCACTGCAGATTCGTGGAAAATAAAATTAGGTGTGGTTCTTTTGACATTCAACAAGTCAACTCTCAAAGACAAGCTGGGTTTCTTTTTCAACAATGTTCGAACCAGGCTATAAATTGGCGTTCCAAGCATATATTCCTCTTTAGTAGAACCTGTTCTCAAGGCACCAGGTACTGCTACTCATACTGCCAAACTTAATTGTCATGAGTAAAAATGTTTGAGCTTCCTGAAATACCTTCAGTGTTTATATAAGATGTATGATATTACCATTTATTTCCAAGTAACAGACGTGCGACGGAAACACTTCCAATGATACAACAGGGCTAGCATTTGCAAATTGGTTCAATGTAACAGTGTCTCACAGTCCAGCCTATATTCAGGAATCTTCAGCTGACATTCATCTAAAACCTTTTGACGAATTTCTCTGGAGAGTTCCTTCAGAAACTCTGATACAGCTAACTCATGCTTCCTCTTTAACTCGTCTACCTCCTTTTGCTGCTTTAGCAGTAGATGCTTGAGTCCCTCAACAATTTTCTTGACATCTTCTGATTGCAAATCAGAGATCCCACCATCTTCTTTTTCTTCAACATTCTCATTTTTGCAAGACAAAATTTCAACCTCCAGCTGTTCAAGCGATGCATCACCATTTGGACTGTGACCATCTCTTTTGCTATTAGGAGTTCTTTCATCATTTTCAGTCAATCTTTCTTCATGGTTGACAGCCAAATATGGCAGGTTTAATGTAACAGACATGCCTTGAGAGTTTTTACTCACTGCCTTGGGCGAGTCAGACCAGTACTTATGACCTGATGGCAATCTCTCCAATCGAAGGCCACCAAAAGACGGGATTGGCTCATTTGTCACAGGAGAAGTGTCATCCTTGGTTTTAAGGGAACATCTGTCAAAATTTGCAACCTCTTCAGAAAGACTATCCCCAGAAACTTCTCTAGGTTCCCAATCTGGAATATGAGTCCGAATTTCTGACTCGATCATTGCAGCAATTGTTGAGACATCTTGATCTGTCAGATTCAACTCATTAACCATTTCACTAGCAACAGAATTTGCTGTGTCTGCTGCAATATCAAATGGGAAGTGAATATTGCGAAAATGACCTGCACCATACAAACGACTTTCAGCTGGAAATTTATGAATGCTAACAGACAAATAATTTTCTTGATATCAAGATAAGTAAACTGATAATAAGCACACACTTGCACAGTGAGAGTGAGAAAGAACCTGTGAAATCTGCTATTCGCAGTTTAAGAAAAATAGTGTAATTGTCCCTCCTGTGACCTTGCACTGTAAAGTCCCTACTTGTCTCAGCCGGAGGATAATGGGCATTTCCACCAACTTTTACCTGACTAGAACTCCCAGCTGCAAATATTCATGAAATATGTAAGGGCCAAAACCTAAATGCCTTTGTGCTCCATAGCAGCATCATAATTTCAACATTACCTGAATGATGAATTTTGGCTTGTAAAGAACGACCTGTACTCTCATTTTCCTCATCTGGTTGGAGAAAGGGATCTCCCAAAAGTTCCTTGGCAGGTAACCGGTCAGAGACTTCTGCAATGCATTTTTCTATAAATGCTCGAACACCGGGATCTGTCACTTTTACCAATGATGCTGGCTTTATTCCCTACCAAGAAAAAAAAAATCACAGCAATGATTAAGAAGTCAACTTCGAATCTACAAGTGACCTTCAAGCTGTGGTACATGAAAAAATGAATGAAGAAATGAAGATAAGGATAAGAGTACAAGACACCATATTTAGATATCTAGAACTTCCTAACGTTCCATTTTCTGTCAATCTTGATCCATTACAAGATTTTAAAGATTTCAAAACTATTTTACCTTTAAAAAGTTCTGCCAATTATAAAAACTATAAAGCATTACCCCTGATTCAACTAGGAAAAAATTTTAGAACTCAATCCAAGCCAGCTAAGACCAGTGACTTTAGCATTTTGTTTATGTGATCAGTTACCTCATAAACAGATAAAGATTCTCTCCTTTTTGAGGTAGAAACAAAAAATAACTGGCTGAAAGGATTGAAGTTTTTATAGACCAGAAGATTATTATAACAGTTTTCCAAAAGTTTGCTCACTTCTGCTTCAGGTATGGTTTGCAAAAGAGCACATATGTCGAACTTTCTCAGAATGAAAAGAAATACTGCTTATGGAAATGGCAACAACACATAAAGAAGGAATGCAAGATGGAACTATGAGCAAAAAGTAGAATCTTGACTAACCAGTGATAAGCCCTAAACATTATCCCAAATTTAGGCAGCATTCACAATCCTATACCTAACTACCCATAGACATAGTCAGGCATTTGCTATAGGATGGGCAAATTCAAACAATAATTTTTTTTTATTAAAATAACAAATTCTAAATAGTTAATATTCATTTGTATGTTATGCAACTTTTTTTCGAATAATAGTGAAATGATAAACAAATTATAGGAGTTACAAACTGAAAAAATATTTGAGTTGTGTTTTATTCTTTTTAACATAAGATGTCAGTAATGAGCGTTATATATTAATGTAAAACTTTAGTAAAACTGTTTGAGAAAAGAAAGTAAAATGTTTCACAACCCATTTTTAGAGAATGTATTAAAAATTAAGTAATTAACAATAAATGTGAGATAGTTTTATGATGGTAATCTGCATAGGAAATTAGCTAAAAAGTTTGAGAAATAGAAAGAAAAACCAACTCTTAAAATGCATCATGTTTGAACTTCAACAATTGTTTATGGTAGTAATCTGATGGATCCAGGCCCAATATTTCAATTAAGTATAGACATAGGCCTAGGAAGGGACAAAAGTTGTAATTTGGTGCTATAGACAGGTGGCAAGGTTAGTTAGGATTTGGTGTCAGATAAAAAGAGAGCGTGAGAGTGTGGGAGGATATTCTGATTTTTGGTGTGGATGTGTCTTGGGAGATGCTGGCCCTCAAAGACCAGTCTGTCTCTTTTTTTCATTTGGTTTCATTTGTTTTTGCTACTTTCAGGAATATTACATGAATTATTATTCTCATTTCACTTCATTCCTGTATTGAGAATATATTGGTTTGCTACTGTTATATTGGCTTGCTGCTGTGTGCATTTGTGTGTGTTGTTGTGAGAAAGTGCAGGTTTGAGTCTGGGGTTGTGTGTGAAAGGGAGATATTCATCAGCTTGGTATTAGAGCAGGCGCTCATGGGGGCATGGTCAATACAAGGATGGAGAGTAGAGTCGATAATGTGGAGAAAAAGGTCATGGTGGTCCAACGGGATATAAAAAGGCTGACAGAGACTCTTAATGCCATGAGGAAGATGATGGTTGGAATGCAGAACTGGATGCAAAGAAAAGATGAAGAAGGAGAAACTCACAGGAGACAAGTGATGCTGGAGGAGGGCAACCACTCTGGAACGGGGGATCCACATAACAGGGTGAACCACCAAGGAAACGAACATCTGGGAGATGGTGGTTTTTACGGCGGCGTTGGAGGGAATCGAAGAGATTGGGGTGGTCAGAAACTTGAGCTGCCAATATTCTTCGACGAAGATCCTTATGGCTGGATTTTTCGAGTAGAGCGCTATTTCTCAGTTAACCAGATAGCGGAGGAGCATATGGTGCACTCAACAACATTGTGTATGGAGGGGGAAACCCTTCATTGGTACCAGTGGACTGAAACAAGGAATCTAACGGTGACTTGGCCGACATTCAAGGTTGCTCTACTCCAGAGATTTAGCAGCACCCAAGAGATTAGTCATTTGGAGATAAAATGGCGACAAAGCAAATCAGGACTGTGTTGGATTATCGTCAGCGATTTGAGGAAGAGGCCGCCTTGGCAGTCGGCGAGAGAGAAGACGTGCTCACCGCTAATTTTCTCAATGGTCTGAAACTTGAGATCAAAGCTGAGATAAAGCTCTAGCAACCCAACTTGTTGACCCAACCCAATGCCTTGAACCAAGTCATTTTGTTGGCCCAAAGAGTGAAGGAGAGAAATATGGTTTTGGAAGAAGCCAGTATGGGTTTGGGCCGCCAAGGAAAACCCACTAACCAGCCCGCAACTAATTCATTTGGACCTGGGCAGCGTGCCCTCACAAATCAGCCCAAGTTCACAGATTACCCAAAAACAACCCAGCCCACCTTACCTTTAAATCAAAACAGCTCACCCAATTTAAACTCCAGCAACTCTGTACGCAGAAACTTCACCGAGAATAATTCTAGCGCAGGGTCAACGTCTTCCAACAATCCCAAGTCAGCGTTTGTGCGAGATCTCCCATGTAGAAGGTTGATAGAGACGGAAATTCAAAGGAAAAGGGAAAAGGGGCTTTGCTTCCGATGTGATGCTAAATATTCTCCGGGGCACAAGTGTGGGGATAAGCAATTTCAGGTGTTATTGGTTGAAGAAAAAGCGACAGAGGAAGAGGAAGATTCGATAGAGGTTGACCCACCTGAAAGCAATCCACGAAAGGAGGTTGAGTTGTCAATTAGCTCGGTGGTGGGGATTAATGGCCTTAAAACATTGAAGCTAAAAGGGGAAATTAATGGTAGGGAAGTTATAGTGTTGGTAGACAACGGGGCTTCACATAATTTCATCAACCAAGAGTTAGTTGAGGAGCTGAAGATTCTTATAGAGCAGACTAAGCTGTTTGGGGTAAGGGTGGGGGACGGCTACAACATCATGTGCTGGGGAGAATGCAAGGAGGTCCATCTATCATTACAAGGTATTACCATCGTCCAATATTTCTTTCCCTTTGTTATGAGTAGTGCGGATGTGATTTTGGGTGTTGCTTAACTGGAGACACTTGGAGAAACCACCACCAATTGGAAAAATTTGGTGATGAAATTCAACAGGGAAGGAGAAATGGTTACTCTACAGGGGGACCCTTCATTGGCAAGACCCTGGTTTCACTCAAGGGGATGATAAAAACACTACGGACTGAGGGCATGGGGTATCTGATTGAGTTTGGGACCCTACAGGTGCGGCCAAAGCATGAGTCCAGTGAGGATAGTAGACTTCAAGAGCTACTCCGCTATCAGGAAGATGTGTTTGAGCCTACACCAGGAGGTCTAGGACTACCGCCAAACAGGGGGCACGATCACGCCATTAGGCTGTTACCAGGAAGTAAACCTCCCAATATCAGGCCCTACCGGTACCCCTACTAGGGCTATGCAAAAAAATCCGATATCCGGTATCCGATCCATAAAAATCGGATATCCGAAAATTCGGATCGGATACAGATCGTTATTTTAAAAAATCCGAATATTCGGATCGGAAATGTTAAAAATTCGAATATCCGAATCCGATCCAGATTTTACAAAACTACGTCGTTTTGACTTTTGAGTGTAACAACTAACAATAAGTCAATAACCCTGTGTCTAACACAATGTCACAATTAACTCAAATTCAATTACTCAACTCTGTCTCTCTCACTCGTCTCAGTCTCTCTCGGCTCTCGCCGGAACTCAGAAGTCGGAAGCCTATCTCTCACTGTCTCTCACTCTCAGTCTCTCTCGCTGGAACACGGCAACACGCAGACGCAGTCACGCACAGCACAGACCTCACACACTCTCTGTCTCTCTCACTCTCAGAGTCTCAGTCTCTCTCGGCTCTCGCTGGCCGCTGCCTCGCTAGAACACGTAGTCACGCACAGTCGCACAGACCTCACAATCACTCAAACTCTCAGACCAGATCTCAGCTCAATCTCTCACTCAGTCACTCTCTCTCGCTCAACTCTCTCAGTCTCTTTCGCTCGAACACGCACAACGACCAGTGTCTCTCGCTCAACTCTGTCAGATCTCAGTCTCTTTGACGATTGAAGCCCCAAATCGATCGTAAGTTAATTTCTTTAGAATTTAGAGTTGCTGAATTTTGTTCACGTCATATATCCCGGAGCCTACAATAAATATTGAATCTACAAATTTGACTACAATAAAACTTTGTTTTTATAATTTAATCTTTATCACCGAAAAAAGTATCTGAGTATTGTAGTTTGACCCCTAAATCTAATCCACTGGAGAATTTTCCTGGCTTTGTTTATTGTGGAAGGAAGCATGGTTGGTGATAGAAAAGTGGAAAAGGAATATTATGAGAAACTGAAAATGTTTTAATTTGGTTTGTTTGAGATGCATTGCTTGCTTGCTTCACCGAAAGGTGAAGTGCTGACTGCTGAGATAGTGAGATAGGAACAAGTTGAGTGGAGGCAAATGAGGTTTGATTCTTGTTTGTCATTGCCATTTCTATTTTTTCTCTCGAAGCAGCAAAATGAAGTAGTTTGACCGTATGGTTATGTCTACTAATCAACATCTTTGCCATCATCTGGCTTTTGTTCTGTACTTTCTCCAACTGTTATGATAGAACTGATGATAGTTCAAAAATGACATTGCTTTCTCTCATATATATATTCATCTATGAATTGTTATGTCCTCTGTTTCTGAGGGCTTGGAATAAGGCCTGGATTAAATAGCGGAAAAAAAATTAACAGTAACATTTTTATTTCATTTTCTGTAAAATCTGAATATTTCGTTTTCTAAGGGATGATCTGCAGATGTTCTTACTATGGGTTTGGTTCGTGGCCATAGGTTCTCACGTTTCTGGGTCGAGGTGCTCCGAAGGAGTAATTGAAAATGTGGAGTTGTATCAGCTACAAGTTCCAGACCAAGCAAAATGTTGTGTACATAAAGCTCATATGAAACACATTCAAAGAATTAAATGTTTGGACAACATAAGTAAATGTTTTGTGCTTCATGTTAATTTTTTTAGATACTTTATCATGTAATTGTAAGGGAATTTAAATTCAATTTTATTTCTAGAATTATTTGATTTTAAAAGAAAATTGTTAAATTCGGATCACATTCGAATATTCGGTTACTGATTCAAATAATCGGATATCCGTAATCCGGATATCCGCATAATTTGGATCGGATTCGGATCAGAGTATAGTCTGATCCGAAAATTCGGATCGATCAGAAAATGCCATATTCGGATCGGATATCGGATTTGCACACCCCTAACCCTACTACTTGAAGAACGAGATGAGAACATTGCTAGGAGATGTCGGCATCCGAAATCATTAAGCCAAGCAAGAGTCCTTTTCCAGTCCAGTCTTACTAGTGCGCAAAAAGATGGGGGTGGCGCTTTTGTGTTGATTACAGGGCTTAAAAAAGATCACTATTCTGATAAATTCCCCATTCCTCAGGTGGATGAGTTATTTGATAAGTTGGGGGAGCCTCAATTTTTTCTAAGCTTATCTCAAGTCTGGTATCACAGATAGAGTGAGAGAAAAGGATACCCCCAAGACAACCTTTAGAACGCATGAGGGTCATTACGGTTTCTTGTGATCCATTCGACCTATCCAATGCCCCGTTTACTTTCCAACCTCATGAATGACATATCAAGCCTATCTCAAACGGTTCATCCTTGTCTTTTTGATGAATCTTGGTCTATAGTGCGATATGGAAGATCACTTGGTCACTTAGAAGTCCCTTTGATTTTAGGGAACATGGCTGGTGGTTAACCGAAAGAAATGCACATTTGCGCAGGTCTAGCTGGATTACTTGGGACACATCATTTCAGCTCAAGGTGTTGTGTAGACCCATCAAGATTGAATGTATTTTGGCTTGGCCGATCGAAAGATATTAAGGCACTACAAGGGTTCTTAGGATAAGGGTATGGTTTTCGGCAAAACCTTAACTGATCTCCTTCGCAAGAATGCGTTTTCCTGGTTCGAAGCTGCAATCTGCCTTGATGAGTTGAAACAGGTGATGACTACACTACCGGTTCCGCTATGCCGGATTTCTCTAAGGAATTTATTATCGAAACTAATGCATCTGGGCAAGGAATTGGGGCGGTATTGATGCAGGATGGTAGACCAATAGCATTCATCAGCCAAGGTCTCTCCCCTCGATCCCGGTTAAAGTCTTTTATGAACGGGAATTGATGGCTATTGTCTTTGCCGTCCAAAAATGGAAACACTCCCTCTCGGTCGTCATCTCATCATCCGAACCGATCAACAGAGCCTCATTACTTAACGGTCAGAGGTTACAAGGAGAGAGCAAAAAGGTGGACCATCAAGCTTCTAGGCCTTGATTTCGAAATTCAGTACAAGTTGGGAGTAGAGAATAAGGCTGCTGATGCCCTGTCAAGGAAGGAAGAGTTGGTCGAGTACAATGCCCTATCCTTGCTACTTTGCTAACAGGCCAGCTAGAAGATATGGTCCAAAAGATGATAAAATCCCCAAGATTTATCAAGATTTGATAATGATCCGCACAGCCATCGGAACATGGTCCTCGGACACCAACTTTACTTGATGAACGTGTTCTGCCCAGTCTTGCCCCCAAGTCAGGTTGCTTCTTCAAGAATTCCATTCACCTATGGAGGTCTTTTGGATTTTTCTGACTTACAAAAGGCTTCATAAGTAGTATATTGGGATGGAATGAAAGCGAATTCAGAAGTATGTTCGGACTGCCCAACATGTCACACAAACAAGTTGACAATCTTCGTCCGCGGTTTATGCAGGCACTACCTGTACCATCTCAAGTTTGGGAGGATGTGTCGATGGATTTCATTGTGGCGTTCCGAAAGTTAATCGGGTTGACACCGTACTAGTGGTAGTGGATTGGCTTACCAAGTATAGTCCTTTCTTCACTTTTCGACCCTTTTACACCCAAGAAATAGTCACTCTTTATCTCAAACGTGGTCGTTACATGGGTTTCCCCGCACAATATATCGCCAGGACCACATCTTTATGAGTGTTTTCTGGAAGGAATTGTTCAAGCAATCTGGGATTCAGCTGATATGAGCACCTCTACCATCCTAATCAGCCGACCGACGGTTGTAAATCGTGTGTTGAGACGTACTTGCGATGTTTGTGGGGCAACAACCGAAACAGTGGCCAAAATGGCTTGACTGGGAGATATTGGTTCAACACTATCATATAATCGATCAGCTGCAATGTCCCCTTTTCGGCTTTGTACGGTGGGACCCACCTGCCTTCTTAAGTTTCAGAACATGGTTCTGTGGTAGAGGCTGTGGACAAATTAATGACAGAACAACAATCTGATCTTAGAGGAACTAAAACTGAATCTGGAAAGGCACAAAACATTATGAAAGCTCATGCGGATGGAAAGAGGAGGGAGGTTAGTTTTGAATGGGGAGTGGGTTTATTTGAGCTACAACCATATCGAGCAAAATCCTTCGCTAGAGAGCCAATGAGAACTTAGTCCCAAGGTCTTTGGACCTTTGGATCACGAGAAGATAGGCCCTTCGCCTACAAATTAAGTGCCTTCGACAGCCCAAATTCATAACGTTCCATTGTCCTAGTGAAGCAGGTTGTCATCTTACCCGTTAATACACTTCCCCTTCCCGACCTTATTGACAGTAATATGGTGCTAAAAGTGGAACCTGAACAAGTGTTTCAATGCGTCGGTTACTAATGACAATATGAGGTGTGATTAAATGGAAAATTTACCACCTTGTGACAACACATGGGAAGCCTATGACTCGACACACACTAGTTCCCCTATTTTCACCTTGAGGACAAGGTGGCACTTCTTGGGGGGCCAGGGGTTGATGATGGATCCAGGCCCAATATTTCAATTAAGTATAGACGTAGGGCTAAGAAAGGACAAAAGGTGTATTTGGTGCTATAGACAGGTGGAATTAGTTAGGATTTGGTGTCAGATAAAAAGAGAGCGTGAGAGTGTGGGAGGATATTCTGATTTTTGGTGTGGATGTGTGTCCTGGGAGGTGTTGGCCCTCGAAGACCAGTCTGTCTTTTTTTCATGGTTCATTTGTTTCTGGTACTTTCAGGAATATTACATGAATTATATTCTCATTTCACTTCATCCTCTATTGAGAATATATTGGTTTGCTACTGTTATATTGCTTGCTGCTGTGTGGATTTGTGTGTGTGTGAGAAAGTGCAGGTTGAGTCTGGGATTGTGTGTGAAGGGAGGTATTCATCACAATCACCTTGAGGAATGTTGTAAATGAAAATTAAGAAATTGTATTGTCAAAAAAATATATATAGAAAAGGAAAAAGAGGTATTAAAACATTGAATTTGGAGTAAATTAACAAAAAAAAAATAGGCATATATATTAAAAAAAAAAATTGAAAATCTAGGAGGTGCAATATTGTACTCCATCTTTGCAACTCCTCTTATATTGATGAGAAAAGAATTCAAATAGTCCAGGAAATATCTAAAGCACCAGCAACCACTGGTTGTTCAAGCAATTGTTATGGCTGGCACCAGTGCATAGAACAAAAAAGAGAGGTCTAGAATCTGATTTCTCAACAAAGGGTTAGGAATCAAAAAAAAATTTGAATGAGGTATAACTCCAAGGATGAATCGAAAGAAATCTTATTGGTTCTAAGGAGCTTGATTCAATTGTTGTCCAGACAAATTTTGATAGTCAAAGGAGCTATATGATCTAGGGAATCCTATTACTTTTAGACAGTCAAAGGAGCTATATGATCTAGGGAATCCTGTTACTTTAAGGAGTAAAATGTTCAAACTATCATAACTACTAAAAGACTAGAAAGTATCTCAACTATCTCAACTCAAGAAAGGGAAAACATAAAAAACTAAATAGCAACTGATTCATTTATTATCAGAAATATATTTAATAACCCAGAAATCCTTCAGCATACACCAGATTTCAGGATACTAATGTATATTAATGATTTAATGCATGAATTTGAGATTAAAGACCACAACCGTAAACCATCAAGACAATACTGTTGCATGGAAATTGATGGAACCCTGAGCGTCTACAAGAATCATACTGAATTTCAATTGTAAATTTACCCAAAGTACACAAACAGAGGTACTTAAATTAGCTTGTCATAGTGCATATGTAACGCATGAATTGAAAAGATAGCAAGTGCATGATAATTTTGAGTGAGCCAAAGATTAAGAAAGACATACTGATGTCACTTTCTTATATATTTGAGCAGCATTGGTGCATTCAAAATATGGGTACTCAAAGGTCACTAACTCCAGCAAGCACATGCCAAAGGCATATATATCCACAAGTTCATTGTATTCCTCCTCATAGAGCTCTGGCGCCATAAATTCTGGCGTGCCTAAAATAAATTTCAACATCAAATTCACCTAAGCCCCATAACAGATTTCATTGCAAAACTGTATAAGCGTACTATCTATGCACCAAATTCTTACCAATAACACTATGAGCCGAACGTGCCTGTTGAAGGATGGCAGCTAGTCCCAAATCACCAATTTTCACTTCACCTTGATTTCCATTCACAAAAATATTATCACACTTGAGATCTCGATGAATAATTGGCGGGTCATGACTGTGAAGATAAGAAAGACCTTCTAAAATCTGCCTAGACCACTTCTTCAATGCCCTTAGATCAACATGTTTATGTTTCTTTCTATACCTACACAATATCCAAATATGAACCATTAAAAAATACAAAGTAGAATATGAAAATCTCAGAACAAAATTTGATACTGAAGCAGAATTACTAGAACTTACTGGCGCAGATTTCCGGAAGTGAAAATCTCAGTAATAAAATTGATACTCTCATTTTTAGCATCAACCCAGGAATTATAAAATTTAATAATATTCTTGTGTTTCAAAGTCTTAAGCAAACGAACTTCTGAATAAAGACGGTCCAAATCCTCAGAATTACGTAATAGATCAGCAACCTTAACCTGATTCCATGCTACTTCAATTCCTTCCAATTCGTCAAATGCTCTATATCTAAATTACGACAACTTGATCAAGGAAGTCACATAAACATTATTCAATAAACACTGTAAAGCAACTACTTTGTTCCATTGAATATAAACTCACAACTAAAAGAAAAGAATTGAGTAAAGGATACACTTTTTTGAAAGCCCCTCTTCCTAAAACCTCTTTATACTGCAAAAATCAGATGAAAATAACAAAAACAGAACCACCCATTTAATTTAATAAAAAAATAAAGAAGGGAAAATGAAATAAAAGGAAAAGGAAAGAGAGAAAAGACAGACCCGACCGTAACGACCAGTGGGATCAACTTCAACGAACTCAGAATCAGAATCGTCCTGGTCTTGTTCAGAAGAGGAATCCAGTGGCATTATCGTCTAAGAAAAGCCGCCAAAAGGGAAGTCAAATGGGGAAAGAAAAGATGAATCTGAAAGAAAAGGAGAGGTTTAGAAAGAAAGAAAAGTTGTCTCTTCAAAGAGAAGCGTTTAAATTAAAGGGCTGAGAAAATCAGCAAACCCACTAACTTGGAATTGGAAACTTATTTAAAACTGTGCGTAAAGCTCAGATTTGTTTTTCATGTGCGAACGTGGGATGGGAGATTATAATTTATTCATTTCTTATTGCTGAATTCATATTCATATTGTAAACTCTTCTAGAGACTATAGATTTTAACGTGTAATTAAATGCATTTAAAATCAATAAGAAAACAAAGTAATATAATAATGAAGCAAGAAGAAATTGGGTGGGTAGTTGAAAGGGTTTGCAATTATCAGATTGAAACCTTCCAGTCTTCCACCTAATTAACCAATTCCAATCTTATATTATTATAGTTGACCATCATTATTATTAAAGAAATGGAGCTTTGACATCTACAAAGTAAACAAACAAGCGTTAACAAAGCCCCAACAAAGGTGTTTGGCTCAAGTTAACATTTTGTATCTTATTGGTGTATTTGGATTTTAGGGAGCACACCCTATTAAATGAGAAAATATTTCCATCTTTTAAATATTCACTTAACATACTAATTAATGGTGTAAATATTCTTTTTATTATATCTACATAATGTCGTGAGAGAAGTATTTACATGTATCATTATTGAACTGTGACCTTTAATATTACTTTTTTGGATTAAGGTAGGATCACTGTCTTTATCCTTTCCAACTCATGGATTGCCATTTATGTCAAAGACTTTTTAAATTCAATGTAAGACTCTATAAATTAGGAAGACATGTTATTGAAGGGTTTAGGTTATAAATCTCCTAGTTCTAAGCATCTCCATGTGAGTGGTGTTACTCGATATGCATGACTCCATGACAATACTAATAACTACAGTAATCCTACGATCCCCTATGGACTTTTTTTTTTAAATTAGTTATTAATATGCATAATCTTTATTATATCAGAAATAATTTTATAGTTGAAAAAGTAATTACTATATATATATATATATTTGAATTAATTAAATTATATAGAAAATTTATATTAAAGAAAATTAGAATTTGATAACCCCTTATCAAGCTCTAGATAATGGGTTGGGTTGGTTTGGACAAAATTTTTATGGGTTGAATTGGTTTGAATTTTAAGCCGCCCCAATCCTCCCATTGTCATCCCTGTTTGGTCTCAAAAATGTTATTCCGCCTAAAATAAATCCAAGACAAACATGTTATGATATTCACTTATTCATGGTAGAAATAAGTGATTAGAAACCCAACCCGTGCAGTGACCCGCCCAGGCCATCGGGTTGGGTGGTTTACCCGGAGTGTCCAAAGATTTGAAATCTAACAAAAATACTCCTAAAAACTCTATATATAAGTTCCTATAAGTTTGAAATCTTGCATAAACACCCCACACACCATCGTAGGCATCAACAAATATGGCCTATTTTCAACAACGACAACAATCCCCATCACCACAAAAACACTCCCCTCAGCCTCCTAACAAAAACCTATCTTACTCCTTCCCTGTTCACCTCCCCAGTCGCCAACGACAACAAGCTTTTTCTAGTGACATTGGTTTGCAATTTTTAGTCGATTTACTCATCGGAAATCAATGCCGTTGCCACCATTCCACATACCAACGATTCCTCTTCAAAAGCCCTAACACTCCATTTTTTAATATTCACGGATTGATGTCCTAATTTCTAGGGTTTTGAATGAATAATAAAATTTGTAACTCGACTTGGTGAAGGCTCTAGGTCACGGTTGAACTAGTTTAACTAGCCGGGTTGGACATTCCTAATCATTGGTAGAAACCTCTTGTCCCTAACACATTGCACATTTTAAATGTATGATCTCAAACAAAAAAATAAAAATAATAATAATAATAATAATAATTTTAATGGATACATTAATCAAACAAGAAGCCATGCCATACAATGTACATCCTTTATGAAATCAGATAGTTGTAGAACGAAAAATCTAACGGTTCTGGAAGCCTGCTGCATATCCCACTGGAAATCTGAAATCCTCGCCTCTTCTAGACTCGGGCAATAAACAAAAATCCAAAAAACTTTCCCTTAAATAAGAAAAAAGGGAAAAATGGATATACAAATACTTCAAAACGTTTCTTGCCAAGGCCATACAACCCCACCATCTTTCTCAAGGACCTAACAGTTATTTTCCCACTCATAAAGCTTCCAACTACTTCTTAAGAGGATTCATCCTGTCCCTGAGATAGTAAAGCTTGGCCCTCCTCACTTTCTTCTTGTCCAACACTTTTATCTCCTTTATGTTAGGCGAGTACCTGTCATCCACCACTAACTTATTTGGTCATCATGCACAAGACTGAAAGCATTATTCCAATATAATCCCAAAGGTGCAAATTCCACACAACCTACACTAAAAATTTGGACGAAATCCACAGATGCACAAATATAAACAAGAAATTGAATCTAACAAATTCATTTCAAGTATCTTAGCTAATTACTACCTATGAAGTTAAATACCGTTTTATGGCTAATTTTGCTGTCACATTCAGTTTCACATACAATTCAGCATCAGACACAAGTAATGGAGAAAAAAAAATATATTTTCCAGTAAATCACTATCCAATGCTCTTGCAGTACAAGTATATACTCCTTAGCTCTTTTCCAAAGCCTGGGAAGATGTAGATAACATGATCTCTTTTGCATTGAGTTTGATTTCCATTCTTGTTTGGTAAACCAGAGGGTCTAACGGTATCTTAATTAAGAGTAATAATACAGATTCAAACTCTTTTTTGTCATATCATTCTGTCTCATTCTTTAACTTGACTATTTTTATCAACTCTTCCATTAATTAAGTGTCACATCTAAGTTCGCATACATTAGTTTATTTGTAGCAACATTTCTTAATAATAGGTGGCATCGACATCCTTTGGGTCAACATGTACTTTTCTTGTATATATTCATGTATTATAAGATCTAACATTTCAAACAATATGAATCTTTGGACTAGAATATGAATTCAATCAAAGTGAATGAGAAAGAAATTTCAATAAAGTGAAACCATACTGTTAATAATCATGGAACTTCAGATAGAAACCTAAAAGATTACAAGGAATAAATTTCATAAATATCAAAATCTTGGTTTTTTCATAGGTAAATTAAATCATGCCTAAGTGTATAGAATCTTTAAATCATATGCCCTTATAGATTCACTTACTACTAGACCAATGCATAATATTTTGTCTTCCAAAAATAACAACATACAGTTTCAACACAATATCATGGCAAAAGGCATTTTTGCCAGCATTTCATTCAGATTAATGCTCATTTGATACTTAAAATCTTTTATGACCATACACATTTAAAAAGCCCAACAAGTACCTAATCAATTCGACACATATAAATGAAACTTAATTTTTAGGAATATATAAAATCATACTAAGAAAGTATCATGGTGTTTAGGCAATTTCACTACAAACAGTCCATCCACAAGAGAGAAGAGACACTTCTCTTCCAGTTTAGGGCAGCAAATCTAACATACCATGGGGCCATATTTTGTTTATAAGACAGAAAATGCCAATTTTACTTACAGCGGGTAGAGAGATTCAACTCCAACACCAGCTACCAACCTCCTTATTCTAAATGTAGTATTTGGACCAGCATTACGCCTTGCTATAACAATGCCCTTTAAGACCGAAACACGTCTCTTATTCTCAGGGACTTCCTGTTCACACCATGAATTATAACAGAACAATTTAACTTGAATCCTTCAATAATGCACCCACTCCCCTATCTTACTCTACAAAATCAACAAGAAATATTTCAGCAATGAAAACATATGGTACCACTTTAAATTGCACGATATAACCAGGCTTTATATCAGGTATCTCTCTCTGTCCCTTCACTTCCTCCACTGCTTCCTTATCCAAAATCTGTAAAGACATCAAACAATACAATGATCAAATCTAATCTTATTAATGTAAGCATTTGCAATGAAAAGACACGTGCCTGCATTATGTGCCTAGCAGTTTTATCAAGCCTCTTAAATTTGATGCGGGGAGCAGCAGAAAAGTCTTGTGAAGCTGATGCATCAGAATTTCCCATCGTAGTAAGGCACCTGCTAGCGAAAGTTGACTCCATTATCCCTTGTTGAAACAATCCAGCCCTAGTACTTCTACCATAATAGTTGAGCGATGTCAATGACTCAGTTTGGGAGCAAAATTTTACCTGCTGAAGAACCTTGACGAGTGTTATACTCTTTTGTCTTCATGATAAACATATTCCTTGATTCAACAAGGTCCGATTCAATCCTAAAATACTCACAAACACGTGCAAAAGCAGAAAATCCTAAACTAACAATCTTTACCGAAACAAAACTCACTAAACTAATTCACACCTATTTAACTATGTACTGAATACACTTTTTGTAACAGAAGAGTCATTTGAAAAACATAATATAGGTCTTATATTACGAAACTAAGCCATTCTTAAATACTTAATTCTAAGTAGAGATGAAAGCTTCTCTCCCATTGAGCATTACATTTGGATAAAAATAAAGCGAAAGTAAAATAATGCGACCTGAGAGCAAGAAGCGAACTCGTGGAGCGATCGCAGAAAGGAATTCTTCAAAGAATCGAATGGATGACCCATAAAGTTGGACGAAGCGAATCCTTTCGTGAAGTTATGCCTTTGAACCAGCCGGATACTCCCACGAAAAGCCTGCATTTTAACACTGAGGCTGCACTTCACAAGAAAACAGTTGTACTCTCAACTCTGTTTGGTTCCTGAGAAAACTTTGTAATTAAAAGAAAAAGGATTAACAAACAATTTGATTTGCTTACAGTAATAGCTTCGATCGGAGATACGATGGGTATTTTCGCCCCCCAAATCAAAAACCCTCAAATCGAAACTGGGGTTTCATGATTATGATAAGAAGAGGTTTGTATTGAAACCCCTCAGGTTTAGTGAGAGAACAAGAAGACCTACAGGTTTCAGAATAAAACGCTTACACCCTTGTGGTTTCAGAATGAAACAAAGACTCCCTTACAGACTGACATTCGTGAAAAGTTAATTCGGACACAGAATCTATAATAGTTACTTTTCACAAATGTAAATCAATTACAATGATGCAAGTCTTCTATTATGAGACATGTGGATCTACTGTTCTCTCATTAAACCTCAGGACTTCAGGAGTATCCATTAAAAACCTCAGAGTTTGGAAGACAGAAGCAACCAACTTTAAATTAGGATTTAATGGGCTTTGCATTGGGTACCACACGCCGGCCCATGTACATTCAATTTATAAGTGTTTTGAACTCATCAATAGTTTTGAAGGGTAAGGTTTCCTCGTTTTATTAATATTTTGGGTTTGAATCTTAAGGTCAATTATAACATTTGAAACTGATCTTGTAACATTACCTTTTAAGGGGTTTAATGGCCCTTAAGGATTACCCGAAGTATGCACAAACTGACTCAAATTATATTAATTAAGTAAATTATTATAAATTTAAAAATGAAAATATTAGAGATATGGGTGCATTTGTTTCTCTATATTTTCCCCATCCTATTCTTATCATTTACAAAATACACATTTATTTACATATTATGCAAATATTATTATATTTTGTTTAATTATTTTAAACCCCTTAAGTTCGTTAATTTAACTAAACACCCTCAAAAAAAAGTTCAGAAATTGACAAAAATACCCCCACTTATCCACATTTGCTAGATTCTGGCCACTACCGTCGAGAGGTGGCCAGAATCTAGTATAATGGCACACTACCGGCTGGATCTGGCCAGTAGTGCACTGATATATCCTTTTTCAATCAGATCCACCGTGGATCCGATTGGAACAGGCCAGAGCTTTGGTCGTAGCTAGTCGTTGACGACCAAACGCGATCAAATCTAGTCGTCAATAGCTAGATCTAACCGTAGATCTAGCATTTTTCGACCAAATTCATGGTGGATTTGGTTGAAAAAGGCTATCTCAACGTATGACCGACCAAATCCAATCGCTCGTGCTTCTATACGGCGACTCCGACCACCCTTTGGTGGTGCTGGTCGACTACTGATATTTAATGGGTGGATAGGAGTGTTTTTATAATTTTTAATATTTTTATTACAGGTGTATTTAATAAATTAACAAATCTAAGAGGTAATTTTATTAATTTTTAAATCTTATTTCGTTACCTAACTCTTACCTTTTTCAAAAATATTATCTAAAATTCTAAAACAACTGCAGTTATGAGTATTAGGTAAAGGGAAAAAGTTGGGTATGATGAAATGTGAGGGATTAAACCAAATAATAGTTGGTTATGTAAAATCATTAAGTTGGTTATGGTTGGTGAGGTGAGGGGATGTGTTTAGTCATTCTGAGTAAACAGTTAAATCAATTAGCTGTCCTCCATTCCAAACAATTTTCCATGGACGGTGAACCTCCTTAATCTTCTATCATTCTTGTTGAACTTCCTTTTTCTTTTGTACGAAAACCAACACCTCGGCTTCTTGTAAATAGCCGCCTTGAGTGGCATGCAACATCATTTCTTTCATTTTCATTACCGCTTTAGCTTTACCAATCTAATTTTTTTACTTGATTTAACCCAGTCTTGAAAGATGTTTTAATTTAGCACTTAAAGACGGTCAAAGTCTCCGAGTTATGAACTGAAATGGCAGAGATGGACCAGATCTACAGCCTGTAACCGTAGATTCCTCAGATTTTCTGCAACTACCACTCCCTGCTCCTGCACATCTTTGAACTTTATTTATTTATTTATTTATTTTTATTTTATCAGATAGTAAAAAATCTTTGAAGACCCACATTGGAAAACAAAAACAAAAGATCTCAAATTGTTTTATAATTTTGACTGGTCATCATATCTATGTATGTACGTAGAATTCTATACTTCAAATCTGGTGAAAATGGGTTGATCCGCTTTTAACCATGCATGGAAATGAGTATTTTAAGTTTTGACGGAAGCAAAACCACCTCGGATTCAATAAAGTTGTCTTTTTTAAAAGAAAATTCAATTAGTTATAAAGTGATGAAGAAAAGCAAATTATAAAATATAAATCCAGTTAAGCATTTGTTCTACACTCACTCTCACTTACTGCCATCTATTTGCCAGTTTGGAAATATTTCTTTAATCCCTTGAAATGCTGCCAAAAACACCTCTGGCAGCTTCTGTTACTCAATACATCTTGTGAGTTGTGAGTAAGATCCCTTTTCTTTATGTTTTTATTATCATTTACATTCATTCACTTCTCTCTGACTCTTTTTTTTTGCTTCTTCTTCCTCCAATTTGGGCTTTGCCCAGTTACTAGTTCTAAAAACTGATCGATATTCAGTAATAATCTATGTCAAGATTCATGCAAGACCAAATTGGCATTCCTGCTTGCTTTTCATCAGGGGAGAAGTTCACTGATGATCCCGCCGCGATAACAAGGTCTGGTCAGAGTGTTTTCATGTCAGTTTATCGGACAAAGATCGCCGATCAGTGTCGTTTGATCACCATCACATGGTGCAAAAACTTGCTACTTCATGGCCTTTCGGTATCAGTAGAAGGAGAGAAAGGAGAGAAGCAGTATTGCACCTGCAAAGTTGAGCTGAAGCCATGGTATTTTTGGAGGAAACAAGGCTCCAAGCGGTTTGTAGTTGACGGTAAAGCAGTTGATATATTTTGGGACCTCAAGGCAGCCAAATTCAATGGCGAAACTGAGCCCATCTCGGATTACTATGTTGCAGTTGTTTGTGATGAAGAGGTTGTGCTCTTACTTGGTGATCTGAAGAAAGATGCATATAGAAAAACTGGGTGTAGGCCTGCTCTTATTGATCCAGTTATGGTTTCAAGAAAGGAACACATATTTGGCAAGAAGAAATTCTCCACGAAGGTAAAATTCCATGAGAAAGGTAGGTTTCATGAGATCTCAATTGAATGCAAGAATAGAACAATAAATAGTACTGGAAATACGAGCAATGGTAATATTTCTTCGGGTGGAGGAGTTGAGCCAGAAATGGAGATAAGGATTGATGGGCATTTGGTGATTCACGTCAAGCATCTTCACTGGAAATTTAGAGGTAACGAGTCTGTTCATGTGAATAAAGCAAGAGTGGAAGTGTATTGGGATGTCCATGACTGGCTATTTAGTCCAGGTTTAAGACATGCCTTGTTTATATTTAAGCCAATTATGTCATCATCATCGTCTCTTTCTTCTCTATCAAGTACATCTTCTTCGCCGCCATTGTCATCGTTCACATCAACACCATTGTCTTCTCAGGCAGGAAGTTGTGATTCAATAGAAGGTGGGTCATCTGAGTTTTCCTTATTTCTCTATGCCTGGAAGGTTGAATGATGAGAGGAACATATAATCCCCAATGTTGTAAAATCTTCATCAATTCATCATCATCAACAACAACAACAATAACAACAACAAGAAGGAAAGAATAAGGCTATGGGGTAGGCAATATGGATCGATGAGGATGTAGATTGGTTGAAGAAAGAGGCAAGATGATTGGGAGATGAAGAAAGAAGAAGTGGGGACAAAGAGGAAAGGGAATAGAAGGTCTCTACAGCTGGGATTCAACAAGTGGGCCTAATTGGACAAGACAGATTGTATCATCTACATGCCCAATAATTCCATCTCTATACGCATCTCCGTCTGTTTTTAACAAAATTCTCCATTAATTTTTCCTCTCTCTCTCGATCCACTCTTGATAAATGAGCTTACTTTCTTTCACATTTATATATACCAATACGAGTATGATTTCTACATTTTTATATACACAAAAAGTTGACAATAGTTTCGTAACCAGATGACTGAAGATGATGAAATCACTAACTCTGCACATGAAATTCGGTTAACATCTTTCTTTGATTGCTTTGTTAATGTTATTGTCAGCTATTAATCTAATTTCTAATCTCATGTCTCTAATCTTCAGTCAAAGATTTATTACCAAACAAGTATCTAGGTACATTGAAAGTTCCTTTAATTATTCTTATATTGTCGGTGCAATAATAGGGATACCATTAAAGAGACTCTGACATTCATTAAAGAAAAAATGGAAGAAAATTTGCTACAGTGTAGACGTGTGGTAGACTTAATAATTGAAGGTCATTTCTTCTGATGCTTCAGTAAAGAAACTAGAGATGCTTCAATGACTGCACGGGTCAAGCATAGTGTCATAAATCTTTGAATCTGGGTTGTATTCACTATTCAGCCTCTGACCTGATTTAATCGTCCCTGAAATACTATGCAACCAAGAAATATCTTGAACACAAGGATTAAAAAATAATGGTTAATTTCAGTACTCATCTCACTGATTTGTTGAATCCACATCGATCGATGCTTCCCAGGAAATGAATTTGGTAGTGGCATTAAATATATCTCACAATAATTTTGGGAAAATTTACAGTAAGCTTTGTCTTTATTTTGATCCAAAACCAAACCATTTTGCCAAGAAAAACCCGTTTTTTCCGCGAGGAGGTGGTGGTGGTGTAGCAGTAGCTTTTGCCGGTAATGAATTAGGCTTAGCTGTAAGATTGAAATTAAGATATATTTGGAGTCATAAGATGAATTAAATTATTAAAATGAGGATAGCAGATTAAAAGAAAAACATGTGTTCAAAAGTTAGCACCAGTAAATTTACCAAGATTTACATGCAAAATGAAGTTTTCCAATGTAAATTTTCGCAATCAAAGGTAGGAACGAAGCATTACCCGGACTTGATGAAGTTTTGTTATTTTTAGCATTTGTCACACCATTGGGACTTTTATGCAAAATTTTTGTGGTAGCTTCACTTTTAGAGGTAGAGGTTGACCTCCTCTCTGGAACCCTGTCCTCCAATTGTGCTTTTGTTTCTAGCCCGTCTATCATCAAGTGCATGAAAAAGTATTCAAACTGAGTAAGACAACAGCGCTTAAAGGCATATTGGCAGAGTAAAAATACAGGCAAGGCAAAAGCAATGGTACAAGTTTTAATTCGGGTTTAAGACATTGTCAAAGGAGAAATAGAAGTTGATTGTAAGTTCAACGTTGTAATAAACAAGTAAAATAAGTTCTAGTTTCATGACAAGATCTTGTCATACTGTCAAAGTTCAGCTAACTAAAACTCCATTATGCCATCACGAAAAACTTACTCTCAACAGGTGACTTCCCATAGTTGTAACTCAAAGCTTCAAGAAATGAGTTATCCCTTTGGTCTTGCATCACTGTTACTAAAAAAGAAATGGGAATCTTAAATTATATATTATGCATAAACAGCTTAATTTTTTTTACCAAAGGCTGTGCCAAGAAGCAGAAAAATAAGCATACATTGATCGTAAACAGCGTTTCTGTAATTTGGGGCTGAGCCAACCAATAGTAACTGAACCGCCTCTGCATCTCTTGTCATAGACAATGGAGAAGCTATATCCAAATTTTGTGTGTCTAAAAGGATACCCGCAAGCTGTGATAGAGGAAACCCAGTAAGAATGCTAAACCTGAAGCTGGTTCTTTTTGGTTGGTCAAGAGAAAGAATGGAATTGATTTACAAGAAAGTTGATGGAATTTACCAAACTCGTTTTCAACATTGGTGTTTGAAGTAAATCATATGCATCTTCACAATAATTATCTGTAAGAATGGTGCACTGAGATCCAGCCTGTATAAGTAAGGAACCATGTTTAATATAGAGAATTATTTATGTATTCTCATAACATTACCATGAATAGATCAAAAAAATTTTCTCTACTTCAAAAGTTAATACAATTGGCCAATAACAGGTACCAACCTCGCCATTAGTTCTGAGGACATCTTGCCCAACCACGACAATGTTCAATTTTCCGGTCATCATTAGACTCTCTAGATCAATCTGATCCCAAGTAATAGTAACAAAATTCAAATTGTTGTGTGATACCAAATATATAAACAGTATAAATTATTTAAGGCAAAGTTGTTAATCTTAATACAAACAATAATCTGGAAGTACCTCGTCAGCAAAGAGCAATGAGGTAGCATGGAGGCCAACATGGTGAAAGAGCCAAGCAGTCTGTTGATGCTTCCACATTTTCCCTCTCCTTACATTCATCACAGGCACCACCACGTACTTCTCTGCATTACTTTCTGATCCCTTATTCTTTCTCAACCGATTTTCCAACAACCATGCATAGCATATTGCTGCCACCATCGAACTTGTACCTGCATTCCATCAATCTCACACATTCAATTAAAACTTATTTAGAACTTCAACCAGGGCAAACAGGACGATCTTTGCTTTGTAATGTACATTTTTATGATTCTAATCAATAATTAAGTTTGCATCACACTTAACTGTTTGAAGGTCCTGGAAGCACGATCTTGGCCTTGTAATCAGATTCTCTATTCAAAATCTTCTCAATCTTGATTCTCTGTTCTTTAAGGAATCCATTAAGGCTAAGGTCTCTGCTTTTCTCCTCTTCCTTAGACCACCCATTTTCATTGCTTATCGGCACTCCTTTCTCCACAAAGCAAGTAGACCTTGATACAGAGCGGCGGTGAGCTGACTCTACTAGATTCTTGGGTGGTGAAAGGGGGCGATCCAATGGCAATGATGATGATATTGATCTCCTTGGAGCAGACTCAATAATGTTTTTTGGTAGAGAAAGTAAGTTTGGTGTTGGCTCAGTTAATGGACCTGAAGAGGTTTTGAAAGTTCGGCGGGAAGGGACTGGGGTTCCTTGTGGGTGAGGTGCAGAGTTGTCGGTTTTGAAGCGGGATCTTCTGGGAGTTGACTGCCGAGGTGGCAGAAAGATTGCCGTTGGATCATGGGAAAGGTTTGTAGGGGAAGTGGGGGAGGAAGGTGTTGAAGTGGGACTGGATGGATTGAGGATGTTGGAGAACCATTTGTGGACTGCATCAGCAGGGGATTGCTCTGACTCCGAGGAGAGAGTCGTTGAGGTGTCTAAAGTGAGTGACTTGTTGCGGGCGTGTTTTTCTGATTTGCTTAGAATTTGTCCACTGAATCCCTCCCCTGCCCTGTGCCTATTCCCATAAAAAAAAAAAAAACAAAAAAGTGCTTCAAAATCAAACAAGATGGCTCAAATTGCCAATGGTGCAACTCTTTGTGAAATTCGTTACGTAAATTCAATTACTAACGCAATCGTGTACCTTCTGGCAGACCTAGAAAGAGGGTCCCTACGATCAATTGATGAGACCGATAGCCTGGCTTGTGCGGCTGCAAACCTTGGCGACCCGACGAGTCGCGAAGGTGATTCACTTCGAGATGGAGAAGAGGCCACCATACGTTTTGCCTCTTCTAGCCACTCTTGTGTTAACCTGCTACTGTTGCTTCTAGTGCTATCATCAAAATCGTCTTCCTCGTCCATCAAAGGACGACCACCACCACCTGTCAAGTTATAGGCTTTCTTGTCATTGTCAACCGCCCCAAAGAACATGTCGTTCATAAAGTCAGTGAGGTCTGGTACATTATTATTTTCCATTTTACGCCGATCGTCTACCATTTTCTTCTGAAGAGTAATGGATCCTTTGGAGACGAGGGTTGATTGGGCCATGTTTTGGTTGAGATTTTAGCCTTAACTTTTAAGAAGAGAAAGAGGGTCATGCACGATCGAGTAATGTAGACTCCGGATGACATTGGTAATATCAGTAAGATATAGAGAGGCAAAGAAAGAATGTTGGCCGGCATCCGGTGGTGTCTTTTTGTTTGTGTTTTATCTGTCGACTGTTTAAATTTTGTTCTCCATCGAACCAACCAAATGGTTGGAATTCATAATAACAAAACATATATGCAGCAGTTGTTTGAGGAGTCCACAAGCTGGCCGTAACCGCGTTTTCGTCGTCCTCGTTTCGGACGTTCCAGAGTTCTGAAAAGTACATTGTGAACTTTACAAATAAACTATATATTATATAAGATAAATGTCTGAGGTCAAATTTATAAGCTTATAAGGAATAAACCATTCATGAATAAATTCTTAGATTCAAAATATGCTATTTGTCTTGTAATTAAGCTAATCAAGCTCCAGTACTACGCTAAAGATTGACATAAATTAGTCCAAAGGGACTCTAGCTAGCTCGTTCATAATCTGTTAGATGACAGAAATAAAAAATTGTGTCGATGTGATAACCTTTTCTGATGTGTATATACGTATTGACTTGACCAGTCGGCCAGTCAGCTCACTTGACTACTTCTCATCGCGCCACCCAAAGCAGCCCCCCTCATTAGGTTCTCCGGCAGCCGTCAATCCCTATGTATCAATTCATTGATCAACATTTCATTTTTCTGGAATAAAAAATTCACTTTCTTAACTTAATTTTGTTTTTTTCCATATATGAATGGGATGTCAGATTGTCTGTTTTGATAATACCTGTTCAATTACAAGTTACATGGTTGACTGTGAGAACAGTTTGGGGTTCAAAACTTTTGATTACTTGGGCTGGTTTTTCTTACATTTTTTCTATCAAAATATACACGAGGTTGAAGAACTGCATTTTTTCTTACATTTTTACTATCAAATATACCGGCATAATGCCACACTGTTGGAGTTGTCGACTACTTCAGCATTAATAGGTAACGGAGACGCACTCGAGGGTCCCGCTGCTCGGGCAGCGTCCCCGAGCCCGTAGGCGGTTTTGGGCTTCTCCATGTATAACCGCTGTAGGATTTCTTTTAAGTTATTAATTCCTTTTTGGGTTGAGCTTAGGAATAAGAATCCTTGTAAAACTAGGTTTAATCTCTTAAACCTAATATATAAACATACTTTTCTCTTGTTATGGGTGAGAGAGTAATTCATTCATTGTAAACGAGAGAGGTGAGACATATTGCAATAATATTGACTCAACTGGATGTAGTCCACATTGGGTGAACCAGGGTAAATCGCGCGTATTATTTTCTTTATTTACTGTTTGTTTTGTTTTACTATTATATTTTGTTCCTATTGTTGTCTCTATTTCGTTCACACACTACATATTATCCTCACTCAACACAATGAGCCGAATGGCTCTTTATCAAAATAGTTGTGTTTAGCATAGAATTCAGACTTATTTGTATCAACACCATTTGCAGCATATACTGTAGAGTAAAATCTAATGTCAGGTTGATATGAATTTGGGCTGGACATATACTGAAGATAAAAACTTCAGGACCCGAAAAGCAATGTCAGACTTGTCTGCGTGTTAAAGAAGTGGTCAGGTGTCATAGGTGGCTGTAGAACTCATGAATGAAATCTATGAAAGGCATCCTGGAGGCAGAAGGCATGGAGGGGAGCAAACAACAGTCCAGTTTAGTTATTTAACAAATACCATTTGCTGCATCAATACGTCTGATATGAAACTGTTAAGATATATTTGCATCAACATGTCACAGGATGAAATGCGGTATCGAATACCAGAGCTGGGGACTAAACTTCAGATTGGTTACCAATGTGGACGTTATGTATTAAATGATATAAATGTGTCTTTCAAGTTCCAATTTGTTTCTGGGGAGATATGTACAGAAAATATCCTTGATGTGAAAGAATATAATACTGATTCCTCAACCAAGTGCAAAAAATTTCTTACCCACTACGGCAACATGTGATGAGCACATACTAAATACTGGGTTACACACAACACACACTGAGAAACGCCTCTCCACTTGCATACTCAAACCTGCTGACATGTAGAATATAGTTGTTAAGTGTGACTGACGCACCCACACAGCTTCCTAATCCTAATCGGCTAATCCTCCGGTATCGTTGACTTTGTGCGTGATGTTTTCATTTAACTTAAATAATTATATATATTTAATCATTTATATGACCTTACAGAGTACGGAACTACAAGTACTGCACTGCAATATATATAAACTAGAATAAAGATACCATGGCAAACTCAGGAATATTTCCTCTCCCGGTCTTAAATGATGAGGCCAACTTGTTAAAATCTTTTCATAGAATGAGGAAGATTCATGAATAATTGACAACAAGAACTTGTTGATATTTATCATCAAAATCGTCTTCCTCGTCCATCAAAGGACGACCACCACCACCTGTCAAGTTATAGGCTTTCTTGTCATTGTCAACCGTCCCAAAGAACATGTCGTTCATAAAGTCAGTGAGGTCTGGTACATTATTATTTTCCATTTTACGCCGATTGTCTACCATTTTCTTCTGAAGAGTAATGGATCCTCTGGAGACGAGGGTTGGTTGGGCCATGTTTTGGTTGAGATTTTAGCCTTAACTTTTAAGAAGAGAAAGAGGGTCATGCACGATCGAGCAATGTAGACTCCGGAGTATATTGATTTAATACATTGACATTGGTAATATCAGTAGGATATAGAGAGGCAAAGAAAGAATGTTGGCCGGCATCCGGTGGTGTCTTTTTGTTTGTGTTTTATCTGTCGACTGTTTAAATTTTGTTCTCCATCGAACCAACCAAATGGTTGGAATTCATAATAACAAAACATATATGCAGCAGTTGTTTGAGGAGTCCACAAGCTGGCCGTAACCGCGTTTTCATCGTCCTCGTTTCGGACGTTCCAGAGTTCTGAAAAGTACATTGTGAACTTTACAAATAAACTATATATTATATAAGATACATGGCTGAGGTCAAATTTATAAGCTTATAAGGAATAAACCATTCATGAATAAATTCTTAGATTCAAAATATGCTATTTGTCTTGTAATTAAGCTAATCAAGCTCCAGCACTACGCTAAAGATTGATATAAATTAGTCCAAAGGGACTCTAGCTAGCTCGTTCATAATCTGTTAGATGACAGAAATAAAAAATTGTGTCGATATGATAACCTTTTCTGATGTGTATATACGTATTGACTTGACCAGTCGGCCAGTCAGCTCACTTGACTACTTCTCATTGCGCCACCCAAAGCAGCCCCCCTCATTAGGTTCTCCGGCAGCCGTCAATCCCTATGTATCAATTCATTGATAAACATTTCATTTTTCTGGAATAAAAAATTCACTTTCTTAACTTAATTTTGTTTTTTTCCATATATGAATGGGATGTCAGATTGTCTGTTTTGATAATACCTGTTCAATTACAAGTTACATGGTTGACTGTGAGAACAGTTTGGGGTTCAAAACTTTTGATTACTTGGGCTGGTTTTTCTTACATTTTTTCTATCAAAATATACACGAGGTTGAAGAACTGCATTTTTTCTTACATTTTTACTATCAAATATACCGGCATAATGCCACACTGTTGGAGTTGTCGACTACTTCAGCATTAATAGGTAACGGAGACGCACTCGAGGGTCCCGCTGCTCGGGCAGCGTCCCCGAGCCCGTAGGCGGTTTTGGGCTTCTCCATGTATAACCGCTGTAGGATTTCTTTTAAGTTATTAATTCCTTTTTGGGTTGAGCTTAGGAATAAGAATCCTTGTAAAACTAGGTTTAATCTCTTAAACCTAATATATAAACATACTTTTCTCTTGTTATGGGTGAGAGAGTAATTCATTCATTGTAAACGAGAGAGGTGAGACATATTGCAATAATATTGACTCAACTGGATGTAGTCCACATTGGGTGAACCAGGGTAAATCGCGCGTATTATTTTCTTTATTTACTGTTTGTTTTGTTTTACTATTATATTTTGTTCCTATTGTTGTCTCTATTTCGTTCACACACTACATATTATCCTCACTCAACACAATGAGCCGAATGGCTCTTTATCAAAATAGTTGTGTTTAGCATAGAATTCAGACTTATTTGTATCAACACCATTTGCAGCATATACTGTAGAGTAAAATCTAATGTCAGGTTGATATGAATTTGGGCTGGACATATACTGAAGATAAAAACTTCAGGACCCGAAAAGCAATGTCAGACTTGTCTGCATGTTAAAGAAGTGGTCAGGTGTCATAGGTGGCTGTAGAACTCATGAATGAAATCTATGAAAGGCATCCTGGAGGCAGAAGGCATGGATGGGAGCAGACAACAGTCCAGTTTAGTTATTTAACAAATACCATTTGCTGCATCAATACGTCTGATATGAAACTGTTAAGATATATTTGCATCAACATGTTACAGGATGAAATGCGGTATCGAATACCAGAGCTGGGGACTAAACTTCAGATTGGTTACCAATGTGGACGTTATGTATTAAATGATATAAATGTGTCTTTCAAGTTCCAATTTGTTTCTGGGGAGATATGTACACAAAATATCCTTGATGTGAAAGAATATAATACTGATTCCTCAACCAAGTGCAAAAAATTTCTTACCCACTACAGCAACATGTGATGAGTACATACTAAATACTGGGTTACACACAACACACACTGAGAAACGCCCCTCCACTTGCATACTCAAACCTGCTGACATGTAGAATATAGTTGTTAAGTGTGACTGACGCACCCACACAGCTTCCTAATCCTAATCGGCTAATCCTCCGGTATCGTTGACTTTGTGCGTGATGTTTTCATTTAACTTAAATAATTATATATATTTAATCATTTATATGACCTCACAGAGTACGGAACTACAAGTGCTGCACTGCAATATATATAAACTAGAATAAAGATACCATGGCAAACTCAGGAAAATTTCCTCTCCCGGTCTTAAATGATGAGGCCAACTTGTTAAAATCTTTTCATAGAATGAGGAAGATTCATGAATAATTGACAACAAGAACTTGTTGATATTTAATTAAAGATTTCCTTTCATACTATAGTATGGCTTTTCCTTAATTGTACAGCTGAAATCTCTTCTCATTTCATAGTTTTCATGTGGTACTGTTTGTTAGCTTGCTCTTTCTTAAGCATTAGGGGACAAAAGAACTTAAAAAAAAATCTTCTAAGTTCCCCGCATCTAAAAGAATATCGATTCCCACAAAGTCAATCAATAAACTAAACCCCAAACATGTACATCCAACACCCTGTCTTACCACAAATATTTGAGGATCCCACCTCTTTAACATGGTGAAGGGCCGTGTTATGAGTATCAATATTAATATTTTATATCATATTCTTCAAGAATCTCTTCAAATTCTAAGAAAGGTAGTAGCCAGTGCTTTGGGGCATTGACTTGTTCTGCCAACAGCAGCCGAAGCAATTATAAAATTAATATCAACTTTAAATTTCTTTTTTTTATCTCTTTGACTCTTGTATATAGAGGAGCCAAGGGACTTCTGTATCGTCATCAGCAATTAGTACTTTTGGGATCATAAACTCTACTTTTCCTAACTTTTGGCGGTTTTATTGAAAGTTAGAACTTTGAGGGCAGATTACCAATGGCAACTCGTGGGATTCTCTTGGCTTCACTTGTTCTTTCTTGTCTGATACAAGCATGTTATGGAGCTGTCCTCTTCTCTTCTCTGAAAAAGACTCTTCAGGTCACTACTTCAACTAAACAAGGAGGTAACTTAAACACCCCATCTTTCTCTTTTTCCATTTAATTTTATACGCATCTTCCTTATGTTGTACATGGTTTATTTATTTCTTCTTATATCGGGATGAACTCTTTCTAAAGTTTTAGTTTTCTTTTAACCCTTTGAAGAAAATCAATGCTTGAAAGGCATATCTAGGCCAGGGGCTTCTCAAAGTCAATTTCATACCTGAAGAATGATTACTAGATTCTTGTTGCTCAAATCATCTTAATGGAAAATATGGTCATTAAAGCTGATCCCTTTATGCAAATTTATGTTATCACAAGTATTATTCACATAGCCATACATAAAGTCTGCCATAAAAAGAATTTGCTCCACAATCTCTTCAGTTTGGTTTCCTGAATTTCGCACTTCTTTTTATTGTATAGATACTTGGTTCAGTACTGATTCTTAAAACTATGCAGTTCTGCAAAGTGGTGAAGACAAAATCACAGTGACATGGGGGCTGAACCAGAGCCTCCCAGCTGGGACTGACTCCGACTACAAGACCATCGAGGTTACGTTATGCTACGCCCCCATCAGCCAGAAAGATCGCGCGTGGAGGAAAACCGAAGACCATCTAAACAAAGACAAGACTTGTCAGTTCAAGTTAGTTGAAAGACCATACAACAAATCACTCCAAACCTTGGACTGGATCATTGAGCGGGACGTGCCTACTGCCACGTACTTCGTACGCGCCTATGCTTTCAATGCTGACGGTCATGAGGTGGCATATGGTCAGAGCACTAACGATCAAAAGACGACCAACCTTTTTGAAGTCCAGGCAATCTCAGGACGCCACGTGTCACTGGATATTGCGTCGGTTTGCTTCAGTGCTTTCTCGGTTGTGTCCTTAGCCTTTTTCTTTTTCATCGAGAAGAGAAAGGGAAAGACGACCCAACAGAAGTGAAGAGAATTCAGAGCCCACAAAGTTACAATCATGTTATAGTATTATAGCTTGAATTGCATGTTTCTTTCAGTGTTTTTATGTTATATTTACGTTTACTGGACCATAGAGTGTATATCTCCACCGTGCATGGCAAACGGGGCCACTTTTTGTGGGTTTGGAGCTGAATTGGACGGTTGAGATGAGATCCTAGTGTCTAATAAAGTGGACTTGTTAGGAAATGGGGAGGAGCTTTGAAGTTGATGTATGGGAATTGGGAAAGTTGAGTAACTAATTACCATCTTTGTTTGTTTCTTAAGAAAGTGAAGGAAAACTCTTTTGGGATATATAAATGTTGAAAAATGTTATAGACACCGGCGTTTTGTACCGAATTTTTACACTGAACGACATGTCCACTGAATCAGACGAGCCATATATCACGTTAACAAATATTCTGCGAATAAACAGTCGTTCATCAAATATGGACAATCGTCCATTGTTATTGGACGGTCGTTCATTTGAAATGGACTCTCGTCCATATAATATGGACGGTTGTACACCTAGAATGGACTCCCGTTCATAGTTTAAACTAAAAAAATTTGGCCTAAATTGTTTATGAATGCCAATCCTCTTATGAGGACAGTCCTGTCCATAGTTATGGACTCCCGTCCATATATTATGGATGGGAGTTCTTTTACTATCAATGGTTTACTATCGATGGGCATCTATATAATTTCAAATGAAATATTCATTTTTAAAGTATAAAATTTTGAGATGAAATAAAAGAAAAAAAAATTGATTTTAAGTAAAAGTATGGACGCCAATCCACTCATTTGGATTTTGGATGGTCGTCCATATATACAATGGACGACCATCCAAAATGGAAGGCCATCCAAATGAGTGGACTGGCGTCCATTCTCAAATATATTTTTTTTTAATTTTTAATTTTTTTTTCATTTATAAACAAAATGCAAATTAAGAGAGAAATGAAACCTATTTTGAGAGGTTTAAATTTTTAAACATTCTAATTGAAAATTTTAAAGAAATTTTTTTATTAAACTAAAATTTTGGTATGGACAAAAATTTAATGAAGCTTGCCCAATTACTTTGAATATTGACAAAAAAATGAATGAAGATAGCGATATTTATTTTTGGATTGAGACAAAAATTCAATGTAAATTTTTTTAAATTAAACAATAGATAGACGTCCATCTAAAAGGGATGCCTGTCCATTGAATGTAAAATTTTTTGGACAGTCGTCCATCTTATATGGACACTCGTCCATAGTAAATAGACAGACATCCATTATTTTTCTTTTAAATTTTTTTGGAAACACTTGTCTATATAATATGAACGGGAGTCCATTAAATATGGACGAGCGTCCATAAATGTTGGATAACCGTTTATTTACGAAAGACTTCAGCGTAATCGCGTCTGATTGATTGCTATCTTCGGTACAAAATTTGGTATAAAATTTTGGTGTCTATAACATTACTCATAAATGTTTGGTCAACATTTTTGGTTATCAAATATTTGGATAGTTGAGGATGATGGTGCTCAGAAGTCAGATAAGCTTAAAATACTGCAAAATTCAGTGTAGATTAATTGTTGAGAAAGAAATGAGATTAATTTAAGAAGAATCTTATCAATATGAGCTGTGAGTGATCCATTGACCTGAATTTTATTATGGTATCATTAGAGGTCTGAATTCATTGTATACATGTTGGTGCATCACGCATGTGGCATTCAAGTGCGCAGCTAGTAAACAAATACCAGACGTCTTGAAAAATAAAATACGAATAATATATATATATATATATATAAACTTTTCGTACAAACTCATCTATACAAAATAAAGTCAAAAAACTTTTCACCATCAATGTTTTAGATATTGGGGTGGAGTTCACACCAGCTAATAAACAAACAATTCATTTCATGTTAACCACAGGTGATTTGATGGTAAAAAAATAAAAAGGAGTTTAGACCCTTAATGATAAAAAAGTAAAAAAAAGTTTTATAAATCTTTAAGTTTAAGTTCCCTTAGACATTAATAAGAGTGATTACTGAAACTCTTATTCGATTTATGATTCTAAAATTTTAAAAAATTAGTTAAAGTACATATAAATTGATCATTTGATGTTAAATTATATGTATCATCCTAGGTTAAGAGTTACGTATCAGAGTCAATGAACTTATGCGACAGTGTACTTCAAATTTACAAATTACGGTTGAAGGTTGGTCCTCTATAACTATGGGGCTACCGAGTTTAGGGGCATATCTTAATTTTCTTGATATTAGACGTGGTGATTAATCCGATATTAGTAGGTATATGAGCATATGACATAACGAGTTCATGCAATAAAAACAGGCATTACTAGTACTTGACAAGAAGGAGAAGTCATCAACCGTGTCATGTCGGCAAAAAAAAAAAAGTAAAAAGATTTGTACGGGAAAGATCCTGGTGTTTTCTTAAATGGTAGTACAAGTAATATGTGTACCGTGTACGGATAAATGCAGTATATAAATTGGAGTAGTTGGATCTAGGTAGAAGATATTCAGCTTTGATGTATTCATATTTGGTCAACTATGTTGCTTCCAATTGCCATCAACTCCTCCACCTAAACCTGAATTCTTTAAATAAATTATCGAACCTTCCCAATTTTTCAACAATTTTCCCCGCACATCAGAAATGAAGAACGAAATAATAGCTGCACCTGCAAGAGAGGAGGGAAGCAAAGAGAGAACAGGTTAGGACAAAAGTGCATTGACTTTACTAATCTTACACTGAATTGAAAATTTCAGATACCAGATGGGCATGTTCACCTTTAGCATCCTCACCCATTCAACAATTTATTGACACAATTAAACTGGTCATTGTCTTTTACAAGAGCAATTGTGTGAATTTGTGATCTGTCCTATGATTTTGCCAACTATAGAAGAAGTTTAACACACAGAAAAACCAACATCTATTTTAACACACAGAAAAACCAACATCTATCCATGGCTTTGGTAAAGATTCAACAACAAGCACTCCAGCGACATGATGAAATCTAATTAGTGGTGGCTGCGCAATCATGTGTTCACATAAAAGCTTAAGTTGCTGTGTGGATATTCAATTTCCTGAGATTAAAATTTAAAGTCAGTTGTGCATAGTAGCTCAAATCCATAGCCTCTACAAATTTGCTCCTTAGGAGTCTGTAATAAATGGAATGTTTTTATTACTTCAGAAAGAACAAGTAATATACATTTTTAACCCAACAACTTCACATTCGAAGTCCAAACAGAAAGCATGCTTAACCGAGGGAAGAAAAGCACTGAAATACAGGAATAACCAGTGAAACATGCATAGCAGCATGACAGAAATACAGAAGCTGAAGATATCTCACTGCTAACAAATGCACAATAAGTCATAATAGTTTTTGTTTGAATTTCAGCATGCTAAGAAATTCCAGCAGTCACATTTTTACCTCTTTTGGCAGGAATAAAGACACCACAAAGCGACTCATCACACAAACCACTACCATAGATACCACTTTATTATAAGCACTTGTGAAAATTGTGTTTACCTGTTGATAATTATGGTTAAAGATTGATGTTTATTCTACACAACTTCCATTAAAGAATGAGCTGTAGGATACTTGCTACTAAAATAATATTTTGTGAAGTCCACTTATGGATTAAAACACATATCTGTGCTCTGCAACTGATCTGTACCAACAAGTGATAACCTGTTTTCATAAACATCAATGTATCCAAATGCATCTGTACCAGGAGGACACTCGAGGGCAGCTTCAAGGACTCGATGGTGTATCCCATGGGAATCAACTGAATGGCCTCCTTGGTGATCATGGCCTGCTAGGCAAACTTTCACACAATTGTAACAGTGTATCACATCCATTACTTCATCATAATTCCAGAGAATTGCTTCTCGGGATGTGAAACCTGGATCCAGAGGCAGATGGCAACAGACCACTACTTTCTGTTTTAACTTTGTTGCATCTTGAAGTACTCCATCTAGCCATTCCAACTGTTCTTTCCCAACAGCTCCATTGTACATAAGGAATCTTCTATCCATGCCCACCAGTCCATCTGGGCTGTTCTTCTCTGTATTTGGGTTTTTCTCCCTAAGAATTTTTAGTGCTTCCAATGTATTTGGATGATCTTGAGGCCAACCGATTGCACTAATATCATAACCATCAAGTACAACAAATCTGTATTCTGGAATTGGTGAAAAATCATAGTATGCGCATCCATCAATACTTGGAATATTCAGTAATGGAAGTAATTTGTCACGGGGAAGATTGTATAAGCAGTGATTACCAATCATGTGATAGACAGGGCCATTGAACTTCTCAAATTCATTGACAACTTCCTTCACAACATCAATAGATTGGTCTTTGGGACAATGCCCATCAACAATATCCCCAAAATTCATAACAAATTTAATCTTCTGATGGTTGTTCCATTTTTGAACTGCTCTTTGCAAAACAAGAAGACTGTGGCGATAATACCTAGGAATGCCAATGAATGAGTGACCATCAGGAATATCAGCATACTGGACATCAGCAATGACCCCAAAGGAAAAAAGAGGTCTCTTCCCTTGCAAACTTGCCACTCCATTTGCAGAGGCCATAATATGAGTAGTACCTTTCCAGCCAAACAACATTGAAAACTGTTATTAGCCCCAGCAGTCCAAGCATCATAATCAAAAGATGAAGTACACTTTTAATAACAGTTGTGTAAAGTAATCTATTTACATGAGAGCTCAAAATGTAATAATAAAATCAATTATTCAACCCACAGCCAGCAACCATGTTCTCATCTGCAGCAGAGACAAAAACCAAAGCGATATAAACATGAATAACCAGAATTTTCAACTATTTCTAGCCTCAGTGCTTTTGCTTTCTCTAATGGCTACTCGAAGAAACTTGTTAGCATCTTCTCAGTTAAATGATGAAAGTGACATATTGTTAGGGAACAGTAATTCTATATAGGAAAAAGACTTCACCAGTCACTAGCCATGCTAACAAGCCCATAATTATGAGCATTTGAACAAAATAATAGTGTAGTTCACAACATGAAGAAAGTTGAAAACTAAGACCCATTTGTTTGGGTAATATATTAAATTCTTCTTACTTCCTCTGTTTTTACCGAACACAACAATACAACCTCATCAAACTATTCTGTCCATAATCACGCCCTATTACATCTTACAAAATCTTCAACCATATTATGCTTTGTGGAATTCCTTCTGAAGTCCTAAAATATAAGAATTTAGAACAAAAGAAGAATTATATGGCGCAGAGAGATCATAATAAGCTAAGCAGGCAAAAATAATGTCAATATGCACTACAACTATTCACCTACTGAGGAATTGCCACATTGTACACCAACTGAGGAAAGTGATTGCATTATCACTACAAAGTCCCTTGTCCAAAACCATGAGAAAACTAATGAATGATATTACTCACCACATCTATGATGTGAAGTCATTAAAAATAATTACCTTTTTGTTTAGAGACTACCTAAAGCAGAACTATTCAGTGAATTTGCTGAATGAACTAAAAGAGAGAACAGAGTTTTAAGCTACAACTAATGTGTTCGTTAACCCAAATTACATTAATCCTTTCCACAAATATGCCAATAAAACTGATGTTGGTCGTCATGGTAAAACTAAAACTAAAAATTGAAAAAGCAAATAAATAAGGCAATTAAAATAAGAAACTAATCTGTAAGTGCAAGCACTATTCGAGACACCACTACAAGATCAAATCTAAATTACGAAATATATGGTAAAAGCAAAATCGCATCAGTTCCATAGAGTAGCAACTAGCAACCAAAAAAAGAAAACAACATTACAGGAAATAAAATTTCGAAAGTAATTATAAAATGGTGTAACAATAGAAGTTAACAAAGAATAAATAAAAGATAAATTCAGAGAGAAGGGGATTTATGTACTTACGATGATGATCAAGTTAAAAGCTCCCCGTCTTCTACGTTTGTCCACGAGAACGTACTACTTTCGCATCTTAACGATACCAGGGATACAGGGGGAAAAAAGTTAGATGCCACGACGTCGTTTTCTGGAAGGCTAAATGGAGACGATGTCGAGGTAGTTGGTTGTGGGTTAGAAATTAAATAAAATAGTAAGAACGTGATTCATGTGATGTGTGGTGGGAAACATGGAAATCAGTAGAACACCGACCTAGTTAATAGACACGTGGACTGCTTCTGTTTTATATTAACACGCAACATCTCATTATTGGTCCAATAATTTACTTCTTCTATGGTTTTGACTTTAGAAGCGTGGCAGTGAAGTCGGCATACAAATAACTTAGCGTGGTTTCTCCTTTGGGCTTGAAATGGAATACGTTGCCATTTTATATAAATATAATGTTGAAAAGAAACATTGGGTAGTTGAAGGTCAAAGGTATATTATAATTTGAGAGTTGGAATGAGTAGAATTAATCAAAGAGAAGGCATACGTTAGTTTCAGACACTATACAGTTACTACAACATAAATAACTGTAAAATGAAATTCAACTTTCATTTCATTTCCTATTAAGCCTAACACTGACTCAACTACTCTGTAAACAAATCAAGATTAACCAATAAGCTGTTCAAAACTTTGAATTCTACAAAAAAATCCTTTCATAAAATAGCTTCATTTTCAGAATCCCTCCTTGTCAACACATTAGCAAAACCGGACTAGCTCCACAGAAAGACAGGAAAGTCGGTGAAGGCAACGGCTTCTCCTTCCACATACCAGAATTTCCTTCTTCAAACTTTCAGTATGCCAGTGCTTGCCTTACAATAAATTTAAGGTACAAATTTTCTCAACTTGACATTGACCTCCCATTGCCATATGGATGAAGAACCTGATTCACAAGCTTCTCCGGCAATTCTTTCTTACCCTGCAAAAGTTAACAAAATAAAGTTGAATCTGAAAGCCCATCAACCTCACTGCAACGTAAAGAATCAAGGGGAGTACTGAAATTCTCTAAAGTATTAACCTGGAAGTGTCTCATGTGTAATATTGGCTCACACCCGACATCTGCAATTGATTTTCCTAGAGGGGTTTGCAACTTGAATCGCTCTGCTTCAAACGCCTTAAGGTTATTGTTCTCATCAGGCAATTGGTGGCAGATTTTCAATAGTGAGGTGAGAGAATTCATCTGTTAGGTAATCAGTAAATACCAATTCAGAGGCCTCATTAAACATGCTTGTAAAATAACAACTTTCATATATACAATCAAATTTTGTTTTGTTCCTTTAACTGGTAATCAACTTCAATATGGTGTGTCAATACCATGGAATTTTCAAGTCTCCAAGTGGATGCAGGAGTTGGAAGCATGCAGCACACAACATTGATTCTTTAATTAAACCATAGGATGAGAGTGATGAAATATGTGCAGAGAATGAGCTAATAAATGAGAGGACAGACTCACCTTCATGTAAGGACAGGATGCACAGCCACCATGAATAGAACACCCCTCTCCACTAGCAACTCCAGGTATAACAGGTAAAATGACATCACCCAAATTGACCGATTTTAGGCTTGGAGATGAACTAGTTGATGTTCTTGTCATCGAGTCTGATGAAACAGGAAAGACAATTTCGACATTAATTTTTGCTTCCCCTGAAGAGGAGTTTTCAGAGCCCAACAAATTGCGAACTGCTGCAACAATTGAAGTCACCATTCCTGTCTCTGTTCCCAACACAAACTGGAGATGGTCATTGACATCTCTATCTAATGCTTCTTGAACCCTGTGTTTTATGAAATCTAAAATATTCTGAGTGGAACCGACCACCCCCATTCCTCTTTTCTTTGCTTCCATTGCCAAAGAGAACATTTCTCCAGGGACTTCAAGATGTGCAGTTAAGAATGCATCACAGTACATTTCATTGATCTTTTCCACAACTTCATGTCCAAAAAGATGATGTACAACACATGTACCATCCTGATGTGAAAATGTCATAAGGTCAGACAAATAAAAGAATGCAGCTCTGCCAAGGCTCAAGTCTTGAAAAGCATGAGGAAATAACAGAAAGGGGAAATTTATGGTTAGCTAGTTAAGTTTGACAATGTTTCAAAAACATAAGGTAAAATGTGTTGCACTTGATATAAATACAATGTTATAGATGCCATCTTCTGGAGGCAGGAGAAACATATTAGACCAAAGTAAACATTCTATGAAAATTTCGCTTACACATATACGTAAAATCATGAAACATCTAAGCCTCCTAAAGAATATAAACCATCAGGGAACATCCCAATACACAGAGAACCACCAATTATAGACTATAGGTGAAGGACATATTGACAAAAAAATACAAGGGAGATCATCATGTTTGTAATTCTATCAGGCAGATATATTTTTTTTTGTCAATCAGGCACTATTCAATAATACGTTTACATAAAATAACCTCAAAATAACCTGATAACCAGGGGAAATATTTTGGGATTCTGAATAAAGTAATAAATCAGTAACCAAATAAACGCAAAGCCAAGCTTCCATGGAGGCATTAAACTGATAATACCAAAGCATACGTGGTACAATGTAATGTATGCCATTCAAACAAGCTACATCTTTATTCCTCGAGGACCAAAAAGATAATTTTTACCTGATAATAATGCAGGCGAGATAACAATGATCTAATTGAGTCTCTATTGTGTTTTGGATGGATTTCAGCAATCTCTTCATCACTCATGAGGGTCATCTGTTGGAATATCTTTGCAATATTTGCACCCATGTAAGAATCAGGCCCATACCATATGTTCAAATCTGGAATCTGAGCAAATGCCTGTAGGAAAAAGAAATTACTTGTACGGCAGATAGCACTTTCCTAAAAGCATTTGACACTGGATATCACTAGTGAAAACATAAATCAGAGCATTACAGCATGCATCAAGTAAATGAATCATGATACCAACCTGCAAAATAGTTTGCACAACATTGGAAGAAGTACAGGTAATTGTAGGCACAAGTTCATGAGCATAAGCTTTTGTCTCCAGTGAAGTATTTATGTAGACAACATGCAAAGAAGGAGGAGAACTAGAAGCAGCCTCAAGGTAATTCATATAAGCAGGAGTAGCTGCAGCATCTGCCAGAGAACAACCAATGCGCTCGTCTGACATCCTATAAACACCAACCTGCATAGAAAAACCACCAATAAACAAAAAAACAAGAATCGCTTAAGTAGTGTGGCACCCCCTCCATAAATTTAACTCTGGTAAAAAGACAAAATTTCATCTATTTCATGCAAGAGTCAACATGAATCAAGATGAATAGAAGTATTATCCTTCTAGCATCTTAACTGTCCGATCATAAAAATATTCACAAGATGCAAAGTTGGAATTGCAAGGGACTAGATCAAGAACAAAATTATTATCAGTAATATAATCTAAAAGGTTTATCTTTCAAGCTTGAATGAGTAAAGGCTTCAAAAAAGTATGAGTATCATCCTTTTCTTCAGAGGTTGTACCCAAGGTCGGTCATGTGCAAGCAGGCCTAACATCTTGAAGCTCTAACGTTTCCTTGTATGTCCCATATTCTACTGGTGTGATGCTATTCATACAGTAAAACCAGTGGCCTTGTGATGGGAATGCTGATTTCCAAAAACAAAAGTTTGCATACAGTTGACACATTGACTTCAAGACAATTTTAAATATTCATGACTTCAAGACAATTTTAAATATTCATCATATTAATTCAGTTTATAATGAAGAGACAAAGTGCTAAATAAAAAATAAGAGTTATGAACAAAAAGTACACGTACATCTTGAAAGCCAGCCTGATCAAGAATTGCACGCACGTTTTCTGACATGAAATCTACACCTAGAACTGTTATGAATTGGCATCCAGCTTTGGCCATCTTCACCGCCGTATCAGCCATGACCAATGAATCAGATATATGAATGTGGGGCCAATACTTCTGTGCAGCAGTTAAGACACCTTGGACTTCAGGGTCCATGTAAAAATGAGCAGCAATGCCAATTTTCTTCTCCTTTAGCACGTTGACAAGTTCTTCAACCTTAGACTCATCGGGGAACAAATATCTAGACTGCAATCAAGCTAGAATGGAACTTAGGATTTTAATTCAGCCAATAAATTAATATGAGAAAATAATGCGATTGGAAAACAATATTACTTAAATCAATTGAGATTCTAATCTTGCCCCCAAGAAAAGCATAGCACCCGTATGTTTGTCTAAACACCTATGGTGAACAAAAATGGCCCTTGCTTGCCAAGACTAGAACCAATTGTTATGTCTCATAATTCTTGATTTCATACATCAGTACGTTTACAATTTAATGCATATTGTTATTTATCGAGAAGATAATGATGGGAACCTTACAATAAAGTATAATTTAAGATTTCCAGTAAAAAGCTTAAAAAAAATAAAAAAAATTGAAAGCGTTACTTTTAGATATGCATGATTTACCAAATTCCATGGGAATTATCAGTATTAAAAGTAATCAGCAACATGAAAACCAGATTCTTGTCATTGAGGAGGATAACAGTGAACTTAGAAGTTTATAATTAATAATATTAGAAAAAAAAATTCCAAATCTCCCATAACTCAACATATACTTATGAACTAATGGGACTGAAGATACCACTGGTCCATCGAACAGTATTTTCTAAAGCTAAAAGACCAGTTAAGACCACAAGTATTTGAAGTTGAAGTTTTCTTCTTATAACAATCTATAAAATACACCGATGCTGGAGGCAATTAACACATCAACAGAAAATCACTACACAAATCATGTATTATCAAAACTTCAATTAAAATTATACAAATATATTCAATAAGATTGAAGAAACAAAGATGCTAACCTGGGCTTCAGCATAGCTACCTTTGGCTTGAACACCATCTTTGGTCACAACCAAAGACGGAAAAGGCTCAAACAGCGCCTTTCCTTCTCTCTCCGCCACCAAAAGTTTAGTCCTTTTCTGCATGCTAATCAAAACATTATGCCATGTGTTCACCCTCGACCTCTCCCCACCAACTAACCCCACATTCAACGCCGCCAAATCCTCCGTCTTCACTCTCAACACCTCCTCAGGGGCCGCCCCATCAAAAACCGAAACCAAACAGTGACAAAACCCCCTGCTAATCTCCGAATCACTATCAGCTCTAAATCTCATTTTGTCATCTTTATCTAGCGTAGCCTCGAGCCAGACCTGGGCCGTGCAGCCCATGACACGGTTCGAGTCGACCCGGGAAGAGTCCGGGAGAGAAGGCAAGAGGCTTGAGTAGTGAAGAAGACGCTTGACCCGGTCGATAGGTTCGGGTAAAGATTGGAACTCGGTGATCAAATGATGGAGCTTCCGTGGCAAAATATCGGCGGTTTCCGCGGGAGAGAAAGTGAGAGCCCCGCAGGAGAAAGACGAAAGAGTAGAGTTTTTAGAAGTGGGTTCAGGAGATTGAATGCATTTGACTGATTTAGAGAAGGGAAAAGATTTTGGTTGGTTGGTTTTGTACAGGTTGAAAAAGAGTGTTTTGGAATGAAGGCTATTAGGGTTGTTTGAGGAGAGAAAAAGTGAAGTCGTAGAAGAAGGAGAAGCAATAGTTTCCATGGCTAAAGAAACTTGCAGAGAGAGAGAGTATGCGTTGAAGTATAAGCAAGGAGCGAGGGAGGGGTGAAGTTAGTGGTCTCGAAATGCGGGCAATTTCAGGAAGGTTAATATATGGATATAATGGCAGAGAAAGAAGGGCCGTTTGTTAATAAAAGGTGTAGAAGCTGAGTCAACTAACCGATATATATATATTGTATTATAAAAACGAACCTCCGCGCGAAAATGTTCACAGAATGGATGTTTCGAGCCAAGACAAAACACAAATAAGCCCAACACTTTGGTAGTTGCAAATTTCGTTTGTGTTTCAGGTGAACATCTGCAGGCCCACCAGCCCCCTTTTTCTTCTCTCTTTATTTGACTAAACTGATGGCGGAGTTTATTTCCTTTCTTTTTACGTTGAAGCTGCATCAAAGTCGAGACGTCACGTTGTGTGAAAAACACAGGAGAAGTGAAGATTGGGTTGTGAAGAGGTTAGCCCACATCCACTTGTGCGGCGTCAGGAGTCCCGGGTGGGTTAAAATATTATCCACTCATTTTATAAATGATAATGAACATTACATTACCTCTTATCACCAATACAAAGCCAACTAAAAAGAAGCCTTTTTTCAACTCTCACTATTCAAAACTCGGTTAAAAGCCCACCTAATTTATTTCTTTTAATCTTACTCTCTTATCATTGATCAATTTTGTTACATAGATTAAGTCCATTTGTATTGTATCACTATCTCTTATAAGTCTTAAGACCATATAAATTTCCCTTTTTCACATTGATGTTGCATCAAAGTCAAAAGATAACTATTTGGTTTATGACCAGATTTTAACCATTTGAATTGATTACCTACAAGTATTTTAAAAGAAAAGAAAAAGCAAAAAGGCCACATAAAAGTAATTGTGTGAACCCACATCTATTTGTATGACACGAGAAACTAATGATTGGAAAGTGTTTAGTTAAAATATTATCTACCCATATATAAATGATAATGACTTATAAGCCACCCATTGCCTTGCCAGCAGCTAGCATATAGAACCATATTAAAGGAAGCCTCTTCTAATTCCCACTTCTCAAAGCCCCACCTAATATACGTCTTTCAATCTTACTCTCTCGTCCTTGGTCTTGATGGGTCTTCCTATTTAAACTAAAAAAAATCACCCATTTTATCATATGTATTTCGTTAAAGTTAGAAGTTGTTGGTATTTGCTTATATTGTTAACTAATGGGTCATGTTTTCCTTTATAATTTCTTTTTCTTTTGATTAATGCTTTCATGTGGCGCCTAGAAAATGAGATGCAAATGCAAATTCCAGGAAAATGAAGAAAAGTCTTCCCATCAGTTGCTTGTGTACAGAAGTCATTCATGCACCAGGGGACCACTTCCCTTCTTTATTGAAATGCCTCAACGTTTTTTCTTTATCTTTCCCAGAAAGTGCAAATGAAAAGTTGTTCAAGATTGATTTGGATTCTTCATATCATACCCAGTCAAAACAAATTATTGGGAGTTAGAATGATGCCATGAATATTCAATTCTAATGGTTTAGGACTTGATACATTTCCTGGGCAGTGGTCCAGTGGACATACAGTTATCATTAAAAGAATTCAACTACTCAACCACCATGAGCGGACCAGAGCCCATTTATTCTACACATTTAATATCACTTTTAATTCCCTATGGCAGTTTAACTGACCAAATTATATTAATTTTCATAAATTAAATGGGAAATCAAGCATATTCTGAAAATTCTAATTTATGATCAAACCAAGTGCAGGGTGGTTACTAATGTCGACAAAACTTTTGCAGGATATATCGTTCTGTTTTGTTTGAACAAAGGGGAATACATAGATTGTAACTTAGTATATGCTATTTCAGAATTCCCATAGCAGCAAATAACTTTTTATTTGCCAGGCCAGAGCATAATATTTGCAAGTACATTCCTCAAAAATCAAACCTGGACTGGTCTGTACATGAAGATGGAGTTCTGACCCAATATGAGCCAGAAACAGAAGAATTAGCATATGCTAGTATGAAGGTACAATAACAAATGAACAAAATCTCATGAAAGATAGAACTAGAATGAAACATTTCTGAAGTCAGATAAAGAAGGTCATGAATTAGTTTGTGCAAAATGTTGGTGCATATTACTTTAACAAAGATGATGAGATTAGATGATTTTTACAATTACAATTGGAATTGGTTACGTGATATAATGGGTGCTAAAAACATAATATAAAACTACTGGCATTGAATATTACAATAATTGAAAAGGTCCAAGACTCAGAGTGTTGTTTTGAAGTATTTGCCCTGCTGTTTATCCTTTGAATATGCAATGAAAGTGAAGGCTTCTCTGTGACTTTTACAATACCCATTATGCTTTCACTTTCCCTGAACAAGGTCAGACTAAGGGAAGTTTGAACCCTTCATTCCACAAGGTGCTTGCTCCTCGAATCCAATGTCAAATTGTCATTCAATATTGTTTAATTTAACCTCAGAAAGAGACATTACATGTTGGATTCTAACCAGTGAAAACATCATAAAAGTCACCAACTTTAAATTTGATCAATTCATCAAGTTTGTCTCTATTGGTGCAAGAATTCAGCATATTGATGTACACCAAATATATAATGGATCTCAAATTGTTCCTTCATTGCACATGCTTTGTCAGAGACATTATTTAAAGGGTTGTCTTAAGAAGACAAAAAAGTAAATATATTATACATGATAAATTATCATGTATTGATATAAGTAAATTTTTTATTTTCTAGTATGCTTCGCATATACCCTTAGGGCACATGGTACGAAAAGTCTTATTTAAATAATGAAAAATCCATGAGTTGAAGAAACTACAGTAACACATACAATTATACCAAGTCTTACAAACAAGACTGATATTAAGATAATAAATAAACCATTAAAGAAACTTCAAGCTTTCTTACTAGAAATTAATTTATGCTAGTCAGAGTTTTCTGGAATATGTGTATCAAAGTCCAATGGAAAGGAATAGTTGACGACAAAGTATATATATCTTAGAGATATTAATTTCACTACAAATCAAGATGCTGCAGTCCAACAACAGTGAATTGTGAATGCAATGAATATCAAAATTGACAGGCCGGCCAAGCGGCCTCCCATTGGTTTCTTTCATAACAAGTTTCCCTCTCTCGACTCGTTCAAACATTTTACTTCATCTATTTGCTAGTTCTTTAGATCAGCTTCACATTATCACATAACACTCCTGTCATCATGGTTTCTCTCCCTAAATTCATTTGTTTCTGCTCTCTAATTTTCCTTGTTAAAATGATTCACTCTCAACAATCGTATGATAAATCTGACTGCAGCTCAGAATCACAAGTTTCTGGGTCCAATTACCTTTGTAGCTCCAAATCACCTTGTCATACTTATATAGTGTACAGAGCCCAAAAGAATTTCCAGTCACTGTCTTCCATGTCATCTCTCTTTCAACTGAGCCTTGACAAACTCCTTGACATCAACAAAATGACTGAAGCTGATTCCAACAACATAACGCTCGGTCGAGAGATCATCATTCCCATCAAATGCTATTGCGCCGGCCGGTTCTCTCAAGCCATTGTCAATTACAACATTTCTACCTCTGATTCATTTGCTTCAGTTGCCTGTGGAGTTTTTGAAGGGCTGGTGAAAGCACAAAGTCTTGCCGACGAGAACCCAAGAGGTCCTCATCAATCTACCGTCAAGGTGCCTGTCCGATGTGCTTGTCCTACTGAAAATGATGGAAGAAAAGGTGTAGAATACCTAGTCACATATCCTGTTATAGAGGATGATGGCACGGGTTTAATAGCCACTAAATTTGGAGTGCCTGAAACAATGATATGGGAGGCTAATAAATTAGGATCATTTGATACCATTTATCCTGGATCAACATTACTCATTCCGACAAAGGATATTCCCTTTGTGAACCTGGATATCCAGCCCCATAATGATGATCCAGCTCCCAGTCCTAGAGAAGTAATTCCGCTAAGGAAAGTTACACCCAGTGCAAAAAAAACTACATTGCATATACAAATATTTTTTGGAGTAGGTCTTGCTGCGGCAGTTGTTCTAATGATTATAGCTTGTTGTGCATTTATATGCATCCAAAGAAAGAATCATCCTAGGAATTTCCAACCTTTATCTCCTAGAAGTTCAGTGTCATCAAATCTCTCACCTGATTTTCTTATTGGAGTCTCCAAATTAAAGCATTCGTTGGTAAATTTTAGCTTAGAAGAGCTCAGGATTGCAACTGAGGATTTCAATGAGGCTTCTGTGATTGGCAAAGCAGTATACAGGGGAAGGATAGATGGTTCGAACGTGGTGATAGAGCATATGAGTTCAGAAGATTCTGCTCGCCATGTCATAAGCATATTGACAAAGATCAACCATCTAAATGTGATAAGGCTCGAGGGATGCTGCTATGGGAGCACACCATATTTAGTGTTCGAGTTTGCAGAGAATGGTAGCTTGAGGGACTGCTTGTCAAATGCTAAGATGTCTAGGCAGCTCACTTGGGTTAAAAGAATGCAGATTGCTTTTGATCTGGCAGTGGCTATTCATTACATACACTACTGCACTAAACCTGCTTATGTTCATCGAAACATAAATAGCAGAAATGTTCTAATAACCATGGATTGGAGGGCAAAGATTTCTGGATTCAGATTGGCAAAACCTTTAATTAGGAACAATGAGAAGGAAGAGACTAACTGGAATGAATCAGTGGTGGTGGGTACAAAAGGATATCTGGCACCTGAGTATCTCAGTGATGGGATGGCTTCCCTCAAGGTGGATGTATTTGCATATGGAGTTGTTTTGCTTGAGTTATTATCAGCTAAAGAGGTTAATGTGGAGGGAATATTGTTGAAGGATTCTGTCAATTTTTTGGTAGATGCAAGGTTTGAAAACTCTTCTGGGTCCGTGGATGAGTTGAAGAAATTCTTGGATCCAACTTTGGAGGGTGATTATCAATTAGGAGAGGCTATGTGTTTGACCCTCTTGGCCAAGGCTTGTATTCAGAAGGACCCTTATCACAGACCCACTATGAATGATGTTCTGAAGGCTCTTTCAAGAATTGTATGATGTGTATTAGTTTTTCATTTTTGAGCAAATTTCAACAGTAATCTGATGCCAATTTCAGCAAATTGTACATACTATAGTAGTTAATGTGGCATTGGAATTCTTGCTTCCCATAATGATGAACCATATATCTTTTCATCCCATCTTTAATATATATGCATTAATCAATGGGGTGGACTCTGTCGAATTGGATTCAACCTGAACCTCCCTGGCAGATAAAAGTAGCAGAGAATAAAAGACATGCAATTGCTTTAATTTCCGTGCGTATAATTGCTTAATCATTCTTGTTAACCAAATAGTTAATAGAGCTTAACTGTATATCTACATAAACCTAAGTTGGGTTTTTCACATTTCAAGTTTTAGCAATAGTAAAGTTATCGGCAAAAAAGAGCCCAAAAGCTCAAAAGAAAGGCACAAGAATGCATTAATTTGATTGGTCACAATCAATAAGACAAATTACAAGAAAAGATGAAAGTAGGAGAATGGAGAATTGCACTTCCATTGGAGTGTATTGTGAAGGCAGTTAATGGAGCATTGTGCACTTGCATTGAACTTAAAAGTAAATACAGAAATGCGCAGAGATGAAAAGGAAAGGAGGATAATATTGAAAAAAAAAATTGTGTTACCCAGCTCTTATCACCATTGTCCAAAGATGTAGGTGATTTGGTTCAATGATCTCATTGGTCTACTTCTCGCATGTTTATAAAGCAATTATGCACAAACTCTCACATGATTCTTGGTTTCATATGATTTATAGATAACAGGTATATAATTTAGTTTACAAGAAGCATTGAACTAAGGAAAAAACATACTAGCTATCATCCGGGATTTTGAAGAGTAACTCTCCCAAGAGTTTTGACATTGTCCGCAGTGTGGAAAATCATCTTGATGCTTTGATGTTTAATTTAACCTCAGAAAGAGACATTACATGTTGGATTCTAACCAGTGAAAACATCATAAAAGTCACCAACTTTAAATTTGATCAATTCATCAAGTTTGTCTCTATTGGTGCAAGAATTCAGCATATTGATGTACACCAAATATATAATGGATCTCAAATTGTTCCTCCCTTGCACATGCTTTGTCAGAGACATTATTTAAAGGGTTTTCTTAAGAAGACAAAAAAGTAAATATATTATACATGATAAATTATCATGTATTGATATAAGTAAATTTTTTATTTTCTAGTATGCTTCGCATATACCCTTAGGGCACATGGTACGAAAAGTCTTATTTAAATAATGAAAAATCCATGAGTTGAAGAAACTACAGTAACACATACAATTATACCAAGTCTTACAAACAAGACTGATATTAAGATAATAAATAAACCATTAAAGAAACTTCAAGCTTTCTTACTAGAAATTAATTTATGCTAGTCAGAGTTTTCTGGAATATGTGTATCAAAGTCCAATGGAAAGGAATAGTTGACGACAAAGTATATATATCTTAGAGATATTAATTTCACTACAAATCAAGATGCTGCAGTCCAACAACAGTGAATTGTGAATGCAATGAATATCAAAATTGACAGGCCGGCCAAGCGGCCTCCCATTGGTTTCTTTCATAACAAGTTTCCCTCTCTCGACTCGTTCAAACATTTTACTTCATCTATTTGCTAGTTCTTTAGATCAGCTTCACATTATCACATAACACTCCTGTCATCATGGTTTCTCTCCCTAAATTCATTTGTTTCTGCTCTCTAATTTTCCTTGTTAAAATGATTCACTCTCAACAATCGTATGATAAATCTGACTGCAGCTCAGAATCACAAGTTTCTGGGTCCAATTACCTTTGTAGCTCCAAATCACCTTGTCATACTTATATAGTGTACAGAGCCCAAAAGAATTTCCAGTCACTGTCTTCCATGTCATCTCTCTTTCAACTGAGCCTTGACAAACTCCTTGACATCAACAAAATGACTGAAGCTGATTCCAACAACATAACGCTCGGTCGAGAGATCATCATTCCCATCAAATGCTATTGCGCCGGCCGGTTCTCTCAAGCCATTGTCAATTACAACATTTCTACCTCTGATTCATTTGCTTCAGTTGCCTGTGGAGTTTTTGAAGGGCTGGTGAAAGCACAAAGTCTTGCCGACGAGAACCCAAGAGGTCCTCATCAATCTACCGTCAAGGTGCCTGTCCGATGTGCTTGTCCTACTGAAAATGATGGAAGAAAAGGTGTAGAATACCTAGTCACATATCCTGTTATAGAGGATGATGGCACGGGTTTAATAGCCACTAAATTTGGAGTGCCTGAAACAATGATATGGGAGGCTAATAAATTAGGATCATTTGATACCATTTATCCTGGATCAACATTACTCATTCCGACAAAGGATATTCCCTTTGTGAACCTGGATATCCAGCCCCATAATGATGATCCAGCTCCCAGTCCTAGAGAAGTAATTCCGCTAAGGAAAGTTACACCCAGTGCAAAAAAAACTACATTGCATATACAAATATTTTTTGGAGTAGGTCTTGCTGCGGCAGTTGTTCTAATGATTATAGCTTGTTGTGCATTTATATGCATCCAAAGAAAGAATCATCCTAGGAATTTCCAACCTTTATCTCCTAGAAGTTCAGTGTCATCAAATCTCTCACCTGATTTTCTTATTGGAGTCTCCAAATTAAAGCATTCGTTGGTAAATTTTAGCTTAGAAGAGCTCAGGATTGCAACTGAGGATTTCAATGAGGCTTCTGTGATTGGCAAAGCAGTATACAGGGGAAGGATAGATGGTTCGAACGTGGTGATAGAGCATATGAGTTCAGAAGATTCTGCTCGCCATGTCATAAGCATATTGACAAAGATCAACCATCTAAATGTGATAAGGCTCGAGGGATGCTGCTATGGGAGCACACCATATTTAGTGTTCGAGTTTGCAGAGAATGGTAGCTTGAGGGACTGCTTGTCAAATGCTAAGATGTCTAGGCAGCTCACTTGGGTTAAAAGAATGCAGATTGCTTTTGATCTGGCAGTGGCTATTCATTACATACACTACTGCACTAAACCTGCTTATGTTCATCGAAACATAAATAGCAGAAATGTTCTAATAACCATGGATTGGAGGGCAAAGATTTCTGGATTCAGATTGGCAAAACCTTTAATTAGGAACAATGAGAAGGAAGAGACTAACTGGAATGAATCAGTGGTGGTGGGTACAAAAGGATATCTGGCACCTGAGTATCTCAGTGATGGGATGGCTTCCCTCAAGGTGGATGTATTTGCATATGGAGTTGTTTTGCTTGAGTTATTATCAGCTAAAGAGGTTAATGTGGAGGGAATATTGTTGAAGGATTCTGTCAATTTTTTGGTAGATGCAAGGTTTGAAAACTCTTCTGGGTCCGTGGATGAGTTGAAGAAATTCTTGGATCCAACTTTGGAGGGTGATTATCAATTAGGAGAGGCTATGTGTTTGACCCTCTTGGCCAAGGCTTGTATTCAGAAGGACCCTTATCACAGACCCACTATGAATGATGTTCTGAAGGCTCTTTCAAGAATTGTATGATGTGTATTAGTTTTTCATTTTTGAGCAAATTTCAACAGTAATCTGATGCCAATTTCAGCAAATTGTACATACTATAGTAGTTAATGTGGCATTGGAATTCTTGCTTCCCATAATGATGAACCATATATCTTTTCATCCCATCTTTAATATATATGCATTAATCAATGGGGTGGACTCTGTCGAATTGGATTCAACCTGAACCTCCCTGGCAGATAAAAGTAGCAGAGAATAAAAGACATGCAATTGCTTTAATTTCCGTGCGTATAATTGCTTAATCATTCTTGTTAACCAAATAGTTAATAGAGCTTAACTGTATATCTACATAAACCTAAGTTGGGTTTTTCACATTTCAAGTTTTAGCAATAGTAAAGTTATCGGCAAAAAAGAGCCCAAAAGCTCAAAAGAAAGGCACAAGAATGCATTAATTTGATTGGTCACAATCAATAAGACAAATTACAAGAAAAGATGAAAGTAGGAGAATGGAGAATTGCACTTCCATTGGAGTGTATTGTGAAGGCAGTTAATGGAGCATTGTGCACTTGCATTGAACTTAAAAGTAAATACAGAAATGCGCAGAGATGAAAAGGAAAGGAGGATAATATTGAAAAAAAAAATTGTGTTATCCAGCTCTTATCACCATTGTCCAAAGATGTAGGTGATTTGGTTCAATGATCTCATTGGTCTACTTCTCGCATGTTTATAAAGCAATTATGCACAAACTCTCACATGATTCTTGGTTTCATATGATTTATAGATAACAGGTATATAATTTAGTTTACAAGAAGCATTGAACTAAGTTAAAAACATACTAGCTATCATCCGGGATTTTGAAGAGTAACTCTCCCAAGAGTTTTTACATTGTCCGCAGTGTGGAAAATCATCTTGATACTCAAAATAAACAAGACATAAGATGGTCCTTTTTTATTTGATTCCTCTCTAAATAAAGAAACAGTTTATGGGGAAGTATGAGAAAAGAGACAGAGCACTAAATCACTAATAACAAGCTGCTACTGAGATCTTGAATGTGAAGGATCAGTAATAAGTCAAAGAAACAAGTGTGTGAGAGAGGTTATATTCCACTTGGAAAAATGATGTGGATTCGTAAATATCCTGCGAATGGATATTTTGAGGTGAAAATATCTAACTTAGATCTATAACCTCATGCTGCTCTGTCGATCTTAGATCACTTGTACAAGATACAGTGGGTCAATGCAGTCCATTTCTATCAGTTTGTAGTTTGAACTACTAAAATTCAGTACTTAATCCATCTTACTTTTTTTCCCTTTTGCTCAAATAAGGATTTAACCATGAACGAGGGTTTGAGTTGGAAAAAATAGTCCCACATGGAAAAATAATAAACTGGGAAAAGGGGCGGAGAATAAATAAAAGGAACGGATTATAATGGTTAACATACTTACCTGGGCGGGGTTTACGAGTTATCAGAAAGGCTCGTAGCCTAGGCAGGCGGCCCACATTGCACGTCGTGGGTGCGCCGGCCTAACATCTCCCCGAGTGGGAGAGTGTACGTCATAATTTGTGTCAGGGGANTGAACTACTAAAATTCAGTACTTAATCCATCTTACTTTTTTTCCCTTTTGCTCAAATAAGGATTTAACCATGAACGAGGGTTTGAGTTGGAAAAAATAGTCCCACATGGAAAAATAATAAACTGGGAAAAGGGGCGGAGAATAAATAAAAGGAACGGATTATAATGGTTAACGTACTTACCTGGGCGGGGTTTACGAGTTATCAGAAAGGCTCGTAGCCTAGGCAGGCGGCCCACATTGCACGTCGTGGGTGCGCCGGCCTAACATCTCCCCAAGTGGGAGAGTGTACGTCATAATTTGTGTCAGGGGAGCCTGCGTTCGCGCGGCTACAGCCCAAACCCTACAACAAAACTTTTATTTTTTATTTTTTTATTATGTACGAGAGGTTATTTTACGAGGCATGGAAGTTTTAATTTATGCGGATGATTTATATTAGGAAAAATGATACCGTTATTGGAAAAAATATACTAAATTCATGTATCCTCATATATGTGATACCATCATCGTTTATTAATTATAAAATTTTCTTTAAGAAAAGAAGATAGTACCATGCATGTTGGTGCGTGAATTCGGTGTATTTTTTTCGATAACTATAGCATTGCTATTTATATTAGACTTGTGTGTGATTTTGTCATAGAGCTTGAAGCTTCTAGAGAGGTAGTTTGATCTAGGATTAATTGACTCAGAATCAGTTCGATTCAAAGTAAGCTCGACCCAGTTGTTCAACGATATCAGAGATAAGTTTCAATCTTGGATATTTCGAAAGGGATAGGTAACGTAATCTCAGTGCTTAATCACAAAGATCACGGGATTGCAAATCAACTCTGATTGCAAGCTGAAACTTATCTCTCTTTCTTTTTATCACAACTTGTATCAAAACTCTCTCAAACGATGAGAGATGGGTTAGCAAGTTTCATTAGACATAAGATACTTGTTATTGTAAGCTTTATAAAGCAATAAGATAAAAGTAGATGTAGATTCAAGTTCTAACTTGCTAAACAATTTTAAAAATTCATTTGTGTTATTTACTTTATGCATTCTCTTATTGTATTGTTGATTTTCATTAATCACGTATATATCTGTTCCGATTTCATCAAGATCAATTGATTCTCTCATATTGATACGAATTTTCATATCAACAAGATTGATTAATTATATATATATATTTAACAGACATCATATGAAGACAGTGGTAATATTAGACATAAATGTCACGTTAAAGCATATTAGACAAAATGGAGAATTGTACTTCCATTGGAGTATATTGTGAAGGCATTGAGCACTTGTATTGAACGTAAAAGTAAACAATAAAACTATGCTTACTCACAATCTTACTAACCATCTTACTATCTTGATAAATATAACGGCATAGTACGGGTAGTATGCGTATGGTACCCGTATTATGCTGTTATATTTTCTAGGATTGTAAGATGGTTAGTAAGATTGTGAGTATAGTACCCATACTATGCCGTTATATTTATCAAGATAGTAAGATGGTTAGTAAGATTGTGAGTAAGCATAGCATTACTTAAAAGTAAATACAGAAATGTGTAGAGATGAAAAAGAAAGGAGGATAACATTGAAAAAACAATGTCCAAAGATGTAAGTGATTTGGTTCAATGATCTCATCGGTTTACTTCTCGCATGTTTATTAAGCAATTGTGCACAAACTCACATGCTTCTTGGTTTCATATTATTTATATATAACAGGCATTAATAGTATATAATTTAGATTACAAGAAGCACTGAACCAAGGAAAAATCCACTAGCTATCATCAGGGATTTTGAAAACTCTCCCAAGAGTTTTGTCATTGTCCGCAGTGTGAAAATCATCTTGATGCTCAAAATAGACAAGATATAAGATGGTCCTTTTTTATTTGATTCCTCTCTAGATAAAGAAACAGTTTATGGGGAAGTATGAGAAAAGAGAGAGAGCACTAATAACAAAAGGTAATCTGAGAAATCAGATCACTTACAGATTAAGGAGGAGTTACTGGTACAAGACGAAGAGGTACTTTCCTGCGAATTAGTAGCACATAAACATCACTCATGTCCAGATCTTCTCCTCTTGTGCCATCAGGTAACTCCCAATCAAACCAGTATAGCAGATTGGCTAACACAAACTCTGTTTCTGCGGTTGCTAATGAAATCCCAGGACAGCTCCTTCGCCCAGCTCCAAATGGAATGAATTGACTGTGTTGGCCGGTAAAATCAACTGAAACATTTGCAAATCTCTCAGGGACAAACTCTTCAGGTCTGTCCCACAATTTGGGATCCCTTTGAATTGCCCAGGCATTGATTAACACAATTGCTTTGGGAGGAATATCATACCCTTCCAGTTTAGTACTTGCAATCGTTGCCCGAGTAATCATAGCTGGAACATGCAATCTCATGGTCTCTTTGACAACCCATTTTAAGTATACCATTTGATTAACGTCATTTTCTTCTACTTTGGATTTTTTTCCCACCACTCTTCTTACCTCCTCTTGCGTTTTGCTCATCACGCTAGGATTTTTCACAAGCTCTGCCATCGCCCATTCCAATGTTGTTGCTGTATTATCAGTAGCTCCAACAAACATGTCCTGGAATAAACAAATTAAAACAGAGTCATATATAGGTGAACAAGTGTCTGTGTATAAGTCCTGAGATAATTGTTTTTGAGAAATACTTACCAATAATATTGCTTTAATGTTTTCCCGAGTGAGGTTATTGTCAAGATTTCCATCCTTCTGTAGATGAAGAAGAATATCCAACAAGTCTTTCTCATCAGATTTGTCATCACTGCTCTTCAAAGCCTCACGTTTTTCGATCACTTGATCAAGAAATTTACATATCTCTCCCGAAGTTGTTTTCAACTTTGCAGTTAAGCCGGTTAGATTATCCATCCACCCTAAAATCGGAAACAGATCTTCAAAGCAAAAATATCCTAAAAGGTCCATTGCACTTCTGGACAGTTCAGAGAAACTCTTACTATTTTCTTCTTCATATACTCGACCAATAGCAGATCTGATAATAATATTCTTCGATATAGTAGCAAACATCTGAGTAAAATTAACCGCATCTCCAGTGAGACTTACAAGTCGAATTTTCTCCACCATGTTTACAACTTCTACTTCTCTCACTAACTGAAAAGCCTGCACCCTACTTTGGTTCAACAGTTCTTCAACGCAAATCTTCCTCACTCGTCTCCAGTAATCACCAAAGGGACAAAATGCTATGTCACAACATCCATAGAAGAGAGCTCTGGCAGCTCTCGATTGAGGCCTGTATAGAAAAGCATCATGGGTCTTTAAAAAGATCTCTTTAGCTATCTCTGCAGATGAAACTATAAGAACTGGGGAGTGGCCCAAGTGTAAGAGCATGATTGGACCATACTTCTCTGAGAGATTTCGGAGAGAGTGGTGGAGGCGTGCGCCAATCTGGTGAAGATTGCCTATTATCGGTAGCTTTGGTGGCGAAGGAGGGAAATTCAATCCTTTACTTCTGATGAGGTTAAACAGATAAAGAAGGAAGAATGAGAAAACAATAAGAGATGTGAGGATGGTACTCAATGGAGTTGTTTGGTTCAATTCTTGCCACCATTGATGCAACAAAATCAACTGATCCATCCTTTTTCAGATCTGAATAGTTTCCAGAATGATATTAATTATAACTGCACCTTTAGTGAATATGAAGAAATTGAATGCAGGAGTTATATTTTATCGTACTTAACAGTTGTTATACAGTCTAGCTCGTAATCAATATTGAAGAAATTGAATGCAGGAGTTGACATGATAAACAAGATATTAATTGAATAAATTGGATACTTTTGAATCTCTAAGCAAACTCCCACAGAATGAGAGAGATTGAAAGGAATAAAATCTCGCATATCAAATGTTTGAAAGACTAGAAAAAGATACACCAGATGATAGCAAGATTAGGAGAGAACGACAATTTCCCGCCCAAGTTTTGGCGTAAGTCATTGTCCACTGAAAGTTTTCAAAAAGCCACTTTTCCACCCATCGTTCAGATCTATCTGTTAACTTTAATTGAAGAAGGATAAAATGATAAACTCAAAAAACAGTAAAACGGTACTTTTGTCATTTTATCCCCATATACAAACTTAAAAAAAAAAAAAAAAAAACCCTAAATTCAAACCCTTTTACTTTTCTTCCCCACCCCCATTGGCCCAAAATCCTCCACCCTCATCAATTGGCCGAAGTCGCAATCAGCCTAGTGTGATTTGGCTGAAATCACACCAACCAGATGCAATTCAGGTCCAATCGTACTTGGCCAAATGCGATTCCGATTGAATTGGATCCAACCGATTCAAACCTGAATCTAGTGTTTATTGTTGTTATTTGGGATAATGAGTTGTGTTTTGTGTATTGAATTGTCGGAAATTGATGGGATCGAGAATGGTGAAAACATAATCACACAAATCCGCCCTAGATCTACGTCGATTTGGCTGAATGCGATCTTGGCCAATTGTTGAGCATGGAGCCAAATGTGTACCAAGTTGAGGTCAATGGAAGTCCTTTAGGGGTCTGGCTACTGTAAAAAATATGGACTAGTAGGGTGGGCTCTAAACCGATGAAGAACATGACGATTCTTAGGGTGGGATTAATGGGGTGATTTTGTTGGTGTTTTTCTATGGGTTGATAAAGGTGATGATGTTGTGTGTTGATTTGGATAAGAGAGCAGATTTTGTGTACTAATTTGTTTGAGAAGATTGTGGTGAGAAGGCTGGGTGTGATTCCGACTGATTTGCACCTAGCTAGATGCGATTTAGTCGGAATCGTTGGATGCGATTCTGATCAACTGTTTTCACTTTGGATATGAATTTGGATTTGAATTAAATAATAAAGGGTATTTCCATTTTTACATTGATTATAACATGTTAGTTAACATATTTTACTAATGGATCTGAACGGTGGTGAGAAAATGTCTTTTTGTAACTTTTCGAGTGGGAAATGAATTAGCCAAACCTTGGGGGGAAATTGTCGTTCTCCCTAAGATTAACTAGTCTAGATGGAATTTAACAGGGTGGTGGAGGTTGACCATTCTCTCTTCATTAAAAAATGAGAGATGGTGAATTGATAATCAAATAATTTTATAACTACAATATACTAATAGACACATGTCACATGCTCTTTTATTTTGTGGAGAGAACGACTTACACATACCCAAGGTTTATCATAACGATAAGTGGGTACCTAAAAGGTTTTAAAATGACAAATAGGTACTTTCCGTCATGTTCTGTTAGTGATTTCTGTTTTATTAGTTTATTAGTAGTGAAAGACTAAAATGCCCTTAAAGAGTTGAATTTTATTTTTTTAAATTTAAAAATTTCTAAAAAACCCCCTAAGTTTACAAATTTAACTAAATACCCCATATATAAAAATTTTGTAAATACACAAAACACCCCCCCACCCGCAAGTGCCAGATTCCGGCCACCACCGCCGGAATCTGGCCGAAAAGTTGCGTTACGACACAGACCCGTCGGATCTGTGTCGTAAGCGTCGATCTGGCCTTTCCCGGCCAAATCTGTGGCTGATCTGGCTGGAAAAGGCTAGATCTATGGCTAGATCTGGCCGTCGACCCGCAAAACTCATCTCTGCGGCGTCGACGACCAGATCAGCCAGGATCTGGCCGGAAAGGCCATCTGGCTGCTACTTCGACGCCAGATCTTGCCTTTTCCGGCCAGATCTGTGGCGGATCTGACCGGAAAAGCCCGAGCGGCACGTCGTAATGCAGTTTTCCGGCCAGATTCAGGCGATGGTGGCCGGAATCTGCACTGGGGGTGGTGGGGGTGTTTTTGTATTTAACAAACTTTTTTATATGGGGGTGTTTATAAATTAGCAAACCTAGGAGTTTTTTAGAAATTTTTAATTTATAAAAAACTAAAATTGAAACTTGAAGGCGTTTTAGTCTTTTCACTATAATAAACAAAAATCACTAACAGAACATGACGGAAGGTACCATATTTATCATTTTAAAACCTTAGATATCAACTTGTCGTTACGGTAAACTTTGGTATGCACAAGTCGCTCGGCCTTACTTGTGATACGTGTCTTCTTTTGGCAGAGCACTAAGCCCTCTTTGCAATGTTTGGTACCGTATAAATGATTTCTCAGGAAAAGAAAAGACATCCAAGCCTTGTGTTTCTTCTTTTGTTTATTTTTAATCCCTTATATATATTGTTTACAACTATTATATAATAAAGATGTATTAATTCGTTTTAATTAGAATTATTTGTTATGCATCTGTCAGTTTTACAAAGCCAATATTTTTGAAATTATTGGACATTTAAAAAATTAACTTCTAAGATAGCTTCTGTTGAATAATCTCTCAAAATTTATATGCTCAAGTTGGCACTAGCTAGTAGCCACTAGGCTGTAGCTTGACCTCGTTTCATTACTGATCATTCTTCCTTATATTAATCCGCATTACTGAATCACTGCCTGGGAATATGTTTATTGTCTTTGGGCCAGTAATTAATTAGGAAGAGAATGTGTCGACCGATTCATTTTTTCTAGGATCCTAGTCTAATACATTTTTTTATTAGATTAAACACATGGGATTGTTGTGTAATCAGCAGAACACCCAACAAAATCCCGATTTATACAAGATAGCCTAAGCATGATTATAATTTTAAAATATTACCCTTTGGACCAGCTCTATCAATCTAGGCGCTTATTTAGGAAGTGCCATAAGAAAACCTTAGGCCTTATCTACTTTTAAGAGTTAACTATTTTTTCACCTAAGTAATGGTTAAAGACATTTTTTTATTCATAAACTTTTAAAATAATATTTTATTACTCAATTTATTCTGAAAGCAAATAGAGATAAATTCGACCTAAGCTATTAGGGATTTTGAAGGGAGAGACTGATAAGTCTTTTGATGTGAAATGTTAATTTTTGTAGTTTGAAATTGATCGAATTTGATTTGGGAAGAGGTTACGTAAACTCTAATCGCTTGATTGCTAGCTATTGGTGTCGGCAGAAGTATGTTTTGAGGGTTTTGATGATTGATGATTGAGAAAGAAATAGTAGTGGTGTGGGGTCGTAGGATATCAAATCGAAAACGAATATAAATTTGAATAATAAAGTGATTTTTAAAAGTATATGTGTTAGTAAAGTGTCAATTGAGTCACTATTTGTATTTGGGTGGGAAAATTCGTTTACTCTTCTTTTAATCTAAGATCATTATCTACCTACAGAAGTTTTCCATAAGATCATGGGAGAAAATTTTAATCTCTTTGTGACTTCACTAATAATAAATACAAAAAGGAGATTTGCAGACTGCTTACATTTAATGATGCAATGTTCCTACAAGAGATACAGGCAGTTTCTTACGCAAAACTGATGAAAAATGTCAGTCATGTCTAGTTCTCCCCATTTTGGCCACTTGGTATTCCAATCAAACCAATTCAACAAATTTGCCAACACTATTCAGCTTCTGCAGTTCATGATGTTCTCTGGGCAACTCCTTCTCCACTACCAAATGCTATAATTGGAAGTCTTGGCCTCCGAAATAATCAACCTGGTCATTTTCAAACCTTTCGGGAAAACTCCTCGGCCCTGTCCCATAATTTCGGATCCCTTTGAATAGCCCACGTGTTGATCAACACTCTTGTTTTGGAGGAATGTCATAGCCATTCATTTTAATACTAGCTGATGTTTCTCTAAAAATCAGAGCTGGAGCATGAACCTCAGGTCTCTTTGATGAAAATTATATACTCCATTTGAGCAATGTCCATAAAATCGATCCTTGCTTTATCTTTGATGACTCTTCTTACCTCTCCTTGGGCTTCTTCATCAAACTTATTTTTATTGTTCTGCCATTGCCCATTCTATGGTTGCTGAAATAGTATCAGTTCCTCCGGTGAACATGTCCTGTAAATCAACGAGAATTTTATAGTTTAGCTGCATGTGTATGTGAAATTTTATTATGATAATGAGAGAGAGATACCAGTAAGATTGCTTTGATGTTTTGTCGAGTGAGGTTGAAGTCTACATGTCATCATCCTGTTAAGATGCAGAAAATATCAACAAGGCTTTCTTATAATGATCCTCGCGGTCTTCAATGCTCAAAACTTGACGTTTCTTCAATCACTTGATCAAGAAAATTATCCAATTCTTTCGAAGTTCTTTTCAAATTTGCGACTAAACCAGTTAGAACATCCATCCATCCCAATGCTGGAATCATATCTTCAAAACAAAAAGCACCTATTAGATCCATTGCCTTCCTTGATAACTCTCCAAAGCTTTTATTACTTTCTTCCCCTAATATATTTGACCAAGAACAGATCTTGATTATATTGCTAGATACAGTAACAGCATCTCACGAAAATTAATGGAAGCCCCATTGAGACATGAAACCGAATCTTCCCAACCATATCTGCAACTATTCTTCTTCCATCTCAGAATGAAATTCTAGCACTCTTCTTTTGCTCAAAGTTTAAGAACACAAATCCTTTTGACTTCTCTCCAATAATCACCGTATGGAAAAAAGCTATGTCACGCATCCTTGAAGAGAACACGAGCAGCCCTGTTCTAGTCGTTCTATGAGGACAGCATCATGAGTCTTCAGTAACTCTCTCGCGGTTTCTGCAGATGAACAATGAGAGTTGGAGCAGAGCCGAAGTGTAACACATTAGAAGACCATGTTTCTGAGATAATTTTGCAGAGAGCGGTGAGGTAGAGTGCCTAGCTGAGGTAATTTCCTATTATGGGTAGCTTTGGTGGTGATAGTAAATTTAGTTGTTTCAAACTTCTATTGAGCTTAACAAAATAATACAGAAGGAATGATAAGAAAAAGAAGAGAATAAGATAGGAAAGAAAAGAGTTGTATACAAATTTTTCCGCCATT